ATGTATGTATGTAATGTATGTATGTATGTATGTATGTATGTATGTATGTATGTATGTATGTATGTATGTATGTAATGTTTGTATGTATGTATGTATGTATGTATGTATGTATGTATGTATGTATGTATGTATGTATGTATGTATGTATGTATGTATGTATGTATGTAATGTATGTAATGTAAGTATGTATGTATGTATGTATGTATGTATGTATGTATGTATGTATGTATGTAATGTATGTATGTATGTATGTATGTATGTATGTATGTATGTATGTATGTATGTATGTATGTATGTATATATGTATGTAATGTATGTATGTATGTATGTATGTATGTATGTATGTATGTAATGTATGTATGTATGTATGTATGTATGTATGTATGTATGTATGTATGTATGTATGTATGTATGTATGTATGTATGTATTTCCCGCAAAAAACACGGTTTTTCCAGCGTTTTCGCAAAGAGGACGTCCAAACACATTGAGTTTTTCCAGATTTTCGGCAAAAGGATGCAGGAAGCCCAAGCCAGCAAAAAAGCCGGCAGGGGGAATCGAGCCTGGGACCCCTGTTTTGCGACACCGGCTCCCCGAAGACTACGTTTAGTGGAACGTCATCAAATTGCCGCGCGGTACGTGGGGGACCCCCCCCACCCCCCCCCCCCCCCCCCCCCCCTCACCCCCTCCCCCCCCCCCTTGCACCCCCCCCCCCCATCCCCCCCACCCTTCCCTCCCCCCCCCCCCCCCCCCCCCAAAAAAAAAAAAACCTACGTAATAACACGCGGGGGGGGGGGGTTAGGGGGGGGGGTCATCCTTTATCCTCTAGTAAGTATCCGACACGCCGAGCAATGTCGGCGGATATATACCTATATATGTCACATGTTTACCAAACGACATGTTTAATGATCACATTGTCCCCATATGGTGGGTGGACATGATGTATTTGTTTGCGAAAAGGATGTTCTCTGAGCATTCATGCCCATATGACTTGCCCAGTGGCGGAGAACAAAGGACACCCGTGTTTGCTTGGTTGACTTTCTACCTATGAAGGAGATCATATATACAGGTGGCTTATGGCGTGTAAAGGGCTTTACATTTCCTTAGGGTGCCACGTTTGGGCGGGCGATGCTGCAGATAGGTACTATTTTGCACCGGTTGGTACGTGGTTTCAGCTGCTTCATCCTTCCCTGGTGGATTTTGTCCGCAGCATTGGGGAACCGGCAGGCAGTTGATTCGGTTGATTTGCAAGGGGAACCCAGCTAAAATGGAACTTCCTGAGTACCATTCAGGCTCATCGGCGCTTGAGCCCAAACCTACCTACCAAAACGAATCGACTGAGTCTGAGCCTTTGGCTTCCCTTGGCGCTACTTGGCTATGTGGCAAAATAGGATACCCCAAAATGGAGGGGAACTTTCAAAATGGAGATGTTCCTTTTGGTTTCATTTTAACGTCACGCCAAAAAGGATACACTCACAAAACATACACCCACTTTAGGTAAAGCCATCTGAGGTATCCTTTGCTTTCCCTTGGTTACCCTTTCCGCTCGGGTTTGGTCACGAAAGCTGGTCCACAGGCAAAGGCAAGCAAGACATTTAGATGATGTGATGGCTGCACATCGCCTGGACCCCCACAAGCAGGACACAAAGTCTTAGGTTGCCACCCTGCCTGGGCTGTAGTCGCTGTGTTCGCATATTTAGACGTTCGAGAGCTCGGCGATGCGATGGAACAGCATCGGACGTTTGTGAAAGCGGCTCAGCGCAGAACATGTCGCCTTTCATTTTCACTTGGTTGATGAGCGAGTGTCCCATCTTTTGTGCCTCCAAGCACGATTCCGGAGTTGGCAAAGCTATCAAGCGTTGCGTGGTCGACACGTTTCAATTCACTCAAGTGTCTGATGATGGCTTCCTAGTTGGTGCGGCAGCTGCCATTGGAGGACTTAGCATAGTTTGTGTCCTTGATCAAAAGGGTACCACGTCCGGATATATTGGAAGTCAAAAGGCCCGAGATGTGCAAATCTAGATTGTGGATAGGCATTGACGAACTCCTTTGGGTTGAACAAATCGGAGAGTTGAGTTCAACGATTGCGCAACTCATTTGGCTCGATCAGTAGCGATTTAGAAGTTACATTCGACACTTGATGTCATCGCGAGATCCAAGCGAGATTCGACTATTTAAAACGCGCTACAAGCCCTCACCGCCCAATCATTCTGCCACGCCTAGACACTCCTTGAAGGACGATGGATTGGGTACTGAAAACATCAGTTTGTCCCTTACATTTCACGCGGTGTTTGTGCAACTATTTCAGTCAAAGTCCGAACTCTTTGATAGCCCCTGGAGCCGGTCAACCTGAGTAGCCCAATTGGAAATACGGAGTTCCGCCACTTTTTCGCCGCTTTTGTTGCCCGGTTCGACTTCCCTGTGATGCCCGAGTTCAGGGTCCAAGGTGACGGATTCCACGGAGCGCCCAAACCTCAAAGGCCAATACTTAGTAAAGGTGTCTGCTCTAGCAGGGATTTAGCTGAGGCCCTCGATAGGGCTGTCTCCAAATGGGGTAACTTCAGAAATGAGTGGTTTCCTCTTAGTTTCCCCTTCAAAGGTTGCGAAGCCCTCCCTGATGGTTGGTTTCCTTCGGACATGTTCAAAGGAATCCCCAAAAAACAGGTTCCACCAAAGGGCAACAGAATGTGTAGCCTCCGAAAGCAACCCTTTTGTTCGATCCCATCTAGGGTCACCTCATGCGTTGGATTCCGTTTCCGTTCGAATCGGCACCCTTTTAGTGAGCAACCGTGAACAAGCGCCCGGAGTACTGTAGCGTCTGCTTTTCTTTGAGTGCATCCGCTGTGTCCCTTGTGTTAAGAAAGACATCCACAAATCCCAACAATGGCCCCAACTGGCCGGTTGTTTGTAGGTTCTGAGGCCATCCGGCAAAGGGTTCCTAGGTGTGACCCACATCATGCCAACAGGCTTGACGGACCCTCGTGCCTGCGCGCAAGTTGCAGGCGCAAGGCACGTTGCGGGCAGCAAAGCAGGCGGAACAGCAGGTGCAGGAGGCGGCCAATCAAACTCGGCAGCAGGCGCGGGCACCGTGTGTTTGGGGATGTTTTTGGGGTGTCGCAAAAACCTTCAAGACACTCAGTTTTAGACGTGTTTCCTGTGGATAGTCCTGAAGCAGGGTTCAGCTTTTGGGTGGTGAAAGCATCACATTGTTGGCCCCCCAACTTTGTGGAGTTCTTCTAGGTGCGCTAATGTTAGTTGTCAGTTTTGGCTGGTGTTTCAAGGGAAAGACAGGGAACCTTGCGGTAGCTCAGAGTATCTCAAAAAGGGCGTGTCTTTCTCTTAGATTTTGTTGACCCCCTTTCAAGATAAGTGTGAATGGCACCAGGGTCGCAATTCAAGCCTCATCTGAGCATCGCCCAAAACAAATGAGATCGACCTTTGGACAGGGTGTGCCTTGTAGACTCCACGTTTGGGGGACGAAAGGCCCCCCTAAAATTGTAAAAGTCCTTTTGGAGGGGTCCCTTCAGCGACTCGCTTCAGAAACTTGAGGCCTGAATTCAGAAGATTCGATTCAGAGAGACTTGGGAGCCCGATTCCGAAACCTGGGCCTCCGATTCAGAAGCTTAGATTCAAAAACTTGTCCCGATTCAGAAACTTGGGGCCCCGATTCATAAACTTGGTTCCCCCAAGTTGGACAGGTAGGCCAGAACCGGAAACTGAGGTGCCCTGATTAGATTTAGCTGCAGCACGATTTGCCCGCCCACTCAAAAGCAGCGCACACAGGGCAGCAAAATGGTAAGAACACCCGCTCACGAGCACCCTTGCAGCATACATGCTTGCCTGCCAAATGATAAGAACACCCGCTCAAGTGCACCCACGCACCGCTGCATATCTGCCTTCCAAATCATAAACACCCGCTCAAGTGCATCTGCCCAGCGTTCCATTTCTGCTTGCCAAATGAGAAGAACACCCCACGCGCAGCACTGCGCGACCACTGCGCGTCTCCAAGCAAAGTACTTCGTGGGACATCTTGCTGAGTCCAAATCCACCCCTGTGGACAGCAGCTGCAAACCTGCACGGTACACATGGGTGTGTTCTTTTTGAGTTTTTGTTTGATGCTTTCAAGAGAAACCAACGGGAAGTCATGCATTTGTGTTTCGCTCTCTCTCGAGGCTGCACGAATCGGTTTTACTGACAAGGTGTCTCTTGCCCTGAAGCTATCGCACACGCATGCTAAAAATGCTGCACCAAGGAGGCCGTGCCAAGGATTCACTCCCAATATGTGACGCGTCTTGCCTTGTATCTCTCCAGCCGAAAGCTGCGCAAAGCCGTCCATTTTCGGGGATGCCCGCCATTTTGACAAACCATCATGACAAACCATGGACAAGGTGCACGCCCATAGACGATAGACGGGGCAGTTCAAAGGCAATCCTTATATACTATTTTTCCTGCAGATTTGGTCCTGTTGTAGTGGATGATGGAAGCATGGATTGGGATTCCAACCCTCCATCTTGAACCGAGGTTTTTGTGTGTCTTTCGGTCTTTGAGTCAAACCTACAAGATCTGGCTGCAAGATTGGCTAGGGCTTCCGGGTGCCTTGAAAAGCCCCCTTGTTGCCTTGTTTTCGCTGAATCCATTGGCCAGGCGGACCACAACGTTGCTGACTTCCGCAAGGCTGCGTGTCATGTGAAGAGTTCAAGGAAGGAGCTTTCCTGGATGAAACGCATACACAGAGACACACCTGAGGTCCAGCGTCTAGTTGACTGCGACGACTCAGCTGGCCATCAATTCAGCAGCCAAAGCCACTGGCCAACCCCAAAGTAGCGGTCAGCGACCTTTTACCAAATTTTGATGCGGCCCATTTCCGGGATGACGGTTCGGGGTGGCCATTCCATAAGTGCCAAGTTCACAAGGGGTGTGTTTCTGGGCAGAGCTGCCTCCCGGTTGAATTGAACCTTACCCACCTGTTAAGGTCCAGCAACACACCTAGACTAAATCGGGTTCAACGAGTTACAATCAAATCCTGCGTAGATGAAGGTGGTGGGGGATAGCCCCCTGTGCCACAAAAAGGTGAGGCAACGAATGTCAAACTGCCTTTTGATTCTTCAATCATTGCAATTCAGATAAGGTTTGTGAACCCTCCTCCCGCTGTAATCACAGACAATGCCCAAAACACATCTTCGTTTTAAAGAAAGATTCTCAAAAACCACAAGGGATGGTAACATTAGGTTTGATTCTGACTCAGCTGCACTCGTTGCTTCATTCCTCTTCGTTCCTCTTTTCACGGAGGCTGAGACTATGCTCCAGGCAGAGTTGCGAGAGGTGAGCGAGTCTACCCGAGAGGCGTGTCGAGTGGGGAGACGGAGTCGCAGGCTTTTAGAGATGAGCCAAGGATCAAGGGCAACGCGAAATGTTTCATGAGTTGGAGGCTTGAAGGCCCGGCTAAGTAATTACGAATCCCCAGTTGATTACTGGGGAGGGTTTGGAGGGGATGGGAATCTTGGGCGACCCTGAAGGGGATCTAACGAGTGCGATCAGACCAGAGAGCTTCGTGCTTCATGCGTCGTGATGCATCTTGTTGCATATTTTTGAGCGGCAGAACGCACTTGAGAATCTGCCATGTTGAGTAATCGCGGGTCAAGATAAACGGGAACAATGCAATAATGAGGGGATGATGGCACGCCTTGACCAATCAACCCCCAGTGTTTGTTTGCGCGCGGAGGGTTTGTCTTGTAGGTTGGATTGCTTTGCTTGTTTCCTTCTGAAATGGGTGTTCCCGAAATTTATTTCGGTTTCGCGTGGGGTTCCCTTCAAAACCATCCCACATGCTCTTCGCCATTTTGTCACAAACCAAACAGAAGCATGACCTTGATCTCATGTGTGCTTTCTTGCTGGGAAACCTTTCCCCATGTGTACCGGCGGTAGCCGCAGTCCAGCTAAATTTATTTTTGGGTGGTGGGGGGGGGGGGGGTTCGAGCTTTAAGCAGGATCTGGTCGTTCATTTCGTTCACAGCAAGGTTTGGCGCGCAGGCTCGCAAACCTATATGAGACACAATCAATCCTGCTTAGTAGCAGGCTAGGAGGGGATAGTTCCCTTGCCATAAACAAGGTGCCGCCAAAACTAGACATGGGTTTTGGGTGGACTCCTTCAATCCCAGGTGATGTCGCTTAACCGCTTAAAAAAAGGCCAACAAAAGCAAGGGATAGTAGAATGTCCCACACAAGGTTTGGACATATCAGATGTTATTCTGACTCAGCCGCGCTCGCAGGCTGAGACCACGCTCCAGGCAGAATTGCGCGAGATGAGCAACTCTGCCCGAGAGGCGGGAAGAGGGATCCAGCCAGCTAGGTACCGGCAAACTCCTGGTAATACCTATTTTAGAGGGTATCCGGATCACTTGTTTGGGGAACATCAGTTTTTATTCTGCCAGGTTGATGACCCCTGGTAAATTTGGGGTCAACAGTAATGGGAAACTTGAGTAAACAACACCTATGTTCTTATGCGCGGGGTCTATTGCTTTCGTCGTTTCATTTCAACTATATTCCACATGTTGTTTGGCGCCCGGGATTTGCTTTTCAGCTTCCTGTCACTTTCCCTTCAAAAGCATGCCAAAGGCGTTTCACCATGTCGACACATACCCAACTTGGGAGCGAAAAGCAAATACAAGCCTGAAGGGTGCGGTAGCTCGAAGTCTTATTCTCATGTGCCTGTCAAAGTTTTTGGGACACCCTCACAAATGTTTGGTGGACATACGTACATCCCCACGAAAGAAGCACGTAGCCGCAATCCAGCTAAATTCTCTTTGTGGGGGGCTTAAGCAGCGCCTTCTGGGCGAATCTCAGGTGCAACCATCGATTTCCAGAAAACTGGTCAGGCAAGAGCTGTCAATATCGAGCCCGAACTGCATCGATATTTTCAGAAGACCATCAAGCTGCGCCCTGAATATGGACATGCTTTGGCGCAATCGTCTGGCACTGGCCTTTTACCATGCCTGCCTGCACTTGTGTGATGCTTTCTGAACAAATGCATGAGTGACGACCTGTGCTGCTGAAACTATCCACATGCACATGACATCTCACAAGAACTCGGATCCATCGGGGTTAGCCTGTGTCCATATATGGTCCCGTGTTCCGTGTTGTACCCCCGCCCCCACCCCAGATGGTATGGGTCCCCCAGGACTCCCACCCCCCTCCCTGGCCCGAGACCCCGAGCCCCCGGATTTTGGCACCTACGGTACCCCCACCCCGACCCCCTGAACTCGCACCCCGACACCCCGGCCCCCCCACCCCCAGGACAAGCCAACCCGCAACCAACCATAAACCAACCCTAAACTAACCCTAAATACACCCTAAATCCACCCTAAACCAAACCCTAAACCGTAGACCTCTAAACCTAAACCAACCCTAAATCAACATAAGCCAACCCTAAACTAACGCTAAACCAACCCTAAACTAACCCCAAATACAGCCTAAACCAATCCCTAAACAATAAACCCTAAACCTAAACCAACCCTAAACTAACCTTAAACCAACCCTAAATACACCCTAAACCGCACCCTAAACCAAACCCTAAACCGTACACCTTTGAACCTAAACCTAAACCAACCCTAAACCAACCCTAAATCAACATAAACCAACCCTAAACCAACACTAAATACACCCTAAATATACCTTAAACCAATTCTAAACCAACCCTAAACCACCACAACCCAACCACAGCACCACAACCACGGGGGGGGGGGGGGGGGTACTTGTCTGACCCATGACCATTGGGGGGGGGGGGACTGGCAACGCTGTACCATATCATATATACATATGTGTATACACTCTATATGAATATCTATAATATACGTATATACATATGTACATGTGCCTGATTTATGTATATGTGTGCCCGCAAGTATGCGTGTGTATGCATGTCTACATCGCGTTCGCATATCTGCATGTTACGTACACATGCACGAAGCGGCGTGAGGCGACCGGGGCTTTGCAGCGTCAGCTGCGGCAGGTGGAGGCAGGGCAACGGGGAGGTGGGAATCAGTTGCCCCATCCTCAAAGCGGAACTTGATGGGGGTAATTAGGTTGATTTGGAATATGGTGACCTATGCAGTGGAAGTCCACACTTCCTTGCCCCTTCTGGTGGTGGCATGATGTCCATTCAGGTTCGCCCAAGATAGCCAACACAGCTTGCAACCCACCTCCAAAGACAGTTGTAGCCGTTCTTAAAATGTTATTTTGTTTTGGCAAACCCAAAGCGGCCAGTGCAGTTTCACGACATTGCAACACATCTCCGGCTTTGTTCTTTGACACCCCTTGCTCACAGCGTCCCGAGTGCCGAAGTTATTTGACGACATGGATTGATCCTGTTCTCGAAGAATCTTGGCAGAGTATAGCCCAGACTTGAAAAAGGTGACAGCCTCGCTCTTGGCAAAGTTTGACCAAGCTGCCAAGTTATGGTCCAAGTGCTTCGAAGATAGAGGTTGTTTGTTCACAACCCGATGGGCCAAATCCGAATTAGAATGGGTCAATCCAAAAACAAACCTAAACCAGCGATTCTTTCCAGCTCTCCTTCTCCTCCTCCTCCTAGTCTAGGGGACTTTCTGGCCTCAGTCAGCAAGCACTATTTGTGAAGCAAAAAGAGGTTGAGATCCTATTTGAGATGCTTAAATCCTTTATATAGTTAAAAGCAGCATTCTGGAACATGTCGTGGCTGCTCAAGCCGAACCCACCCAGAAGTGAACAAACCGCGAGAGTTGACAGTCCAAACCTGGAACCCGAGATGTTCTGCCCGGCCTAATCGTTGCTTGTTTGGGGGGTCGCATTTTATTGTTCGGGGACCGGATTACAGTTCCCTCGACACCATGCCATGGTCACCAGCTTCCGTACAACGTTAGAGTCCAGAAGCGCGGGGGGGGGGGGGGGGCTCGTGTCTCGTGAATCTGCACCAGAGGAAGCCCAGGCACATGTGGCAAACACTTGAATCGTGCAAGTCGTGCAAGTAGAAAGTAGTAGCTCACTACCAAGCCATGCCCCCAGCTGTCAAGTGGCCAGAGTAGCCGAGTAGCCCAACACGAGGCGCAGCTGGGGCAGCAGGAGGCGGTGCAGGCGGTGCAGGCAGAGCAGGTGGCGCGTTTGGCGGCCAACTCTCAAGAGGCATGGCCTTTCGGGAGCAGCGGCCAACTGGACATGGAACCCTTCTTGGAGCAGGGGTCCATCGTTTAATTACCCCAAGGTAGGCATAAACCCAGGGGTGGTTGATTTCCAGAGTTCAGCAGATGCAGGCAGGCTCCCCGGATTTAGGCCGACCTTCGGGCAAGCACAACCAGAACCCGGTACCCGTGAGAGGCCAATCAGAATGCAATCAAGAGTAGTGCAAACCCCAACCTTGGTAGCTACATGACACAGTTTTCTGTAAGCAATCCTTTGGCACAACCACGCGAGGGACGAACTGTGAGCCGACACATACTTTTTCAGCAGTGGGCAGAACGTGTTGAAGCAAGCCAACTGGTGTCCACATGATGTTGCATCATTTGGCGCTGCTTTTAAGGGATTAGCAGTGAGTTGATAATTGCCTAAACTTTTTCCAGGCTTTGGCAACCCTCATGGAAAGCATCCGTGCTAGTTCTGCGAAGAAAGCACAGGTTGTTTTGGGGAATTATGCAAAGGATCCCTTTATACGAGAAACCCCCCAAGGGATGATTTAACCGGTCATTGTTTGATTTCCCATCGCGTAAACATGTTCATGCCCGCTAGGGAAGGCAGGAAAACAAAGGACATATCCAATTTCCATCAGGATAGTAAGGATAGTATGTGTGGTCGAAACCCCTGGCCAGGTTCGAGTACAAGATTGGTTTTCCAATTGGCAGTATTGATCCCACTAGCAGTGTTCGAGCAGGCGGGACCCTGGGTTTTGCAAAGACGGCCAAAGGCAGACTCTTCCCTGGAAATACCAGCTAACGGAGGCTCGGCCTTGGCAACCTTGCTCCCTGCTGCGGAGATGGAGTGAATTTATGTCCAACAATCAAGAACCTAGGTAATGATGGGGTAGCAGGGGCGCTGTCCAAACAATACACAATATGTGGCTGCCCTGTTAGTTCTTTACCATGGATATTGGAAGACGTCGTTACACTTCTTTTGTCTCAGGGTTTGAGTTTTAATCCCTTCCCCCTAATATCCTGGGTCTCCCCCCCCCCCCCCATTAGTAAATCAGCCTCCGGGGCGAAACATATTTAGGTAGTAGGGTCCTTTTGGGTCTGATGGGCCCCCCGGAGACAAGGAAACGTACTCCCGGAGCTCCGGCTCGAAAGTCGCAACTTTGTAGTGCGACCGTAGTAAAGGAAACGTACTCCCGGAGCTCCGGCTCGAAAGTCGCAACTTTGTAGTGCGACCGTAGTAAAGGAAACGTACTCCCGGAGCTCCGGCTCGAAAGTCGCAACTTTGTAGTGCGACCGTAGTAAAGGAAACGTACTCCCGGAGCTCCGGCTCGAAAGTCGCAACTTTGCGGTACAACCGTAGTAAAGGAAACGTACTCCCGGAGCTCCGGCTCGAAAGTCGCAACTTTGTAGTACGACCGTAGTAAAGGAAATGTACTCCAGGAGCTTGGGTCCTGGACTAATTACCCACCCCCTAAAGGCTGGGGCAGGTCTGGGTGAGAATTCCGAGAGTTTAGTATTGGTTTGAATTGGCCTATTCTAAAAGTAGTATTGGGGACCCGACCGTCTGGGAAAAACAGTATTTATTTATAGGGTCCATTGATTAAAAAGGGGAACTCAAGTCTTTCTAAAGGACGCCCCAAGGGGCTGGTGTCTTTAGGAGTGGTAGCAACCCCCCAAGCAAACCACAATGGATGGAGATGTCTTCTCCAGGTCTTTCTGACACCCAACAGCATGCATTTTGCATCTTGCGGATGACTGACGAGAAGCAATCAACAAAATATATGCAAAACAGATGCACCACGACAATAGGACTCCACTGGTGGCAAGGGAGTGGCTTGAGAGCACGCTCGCGGGTGGGAGGGGATGGTGGTGCGCGCAGGCTGACTGGGGGGCTGGGCGGGCCAGGGGACTGGGGTGAGTAGTAGCGTAGTACTTTGCAAGATTGCGTACCTTGCAACGTTCTAAGAAAGTTTGCACATGTGTGCTTGCATGGGCGCCGCTGCTATAGAGTGTGCATTTGTCTTGGTGTGCCTGCACCGTCGCCATCGTTGTAGAGTGCGCGCTTTCCAATGGTCTTGGGCGAGTATGGCAACCTTACATGGCAAGGAGTGCATCATAGGGAACCTTTTCGGGGCTTGTGAGGTTTTATTATTCACTTGGAAGAGCAACAAAGGTTTTCCTTCCACCGGCCAATGTGGAAGCCCCCGGTTCCGCGGGAAGCGCAGTTTCTACCCGTAGGGTTTTAGGGCGGCTCCCCTGGTTGGAGACACCCGCGTGAGCAACGGTCAATAGTTGGAATCATTGGTTGTAGCCAAGGGGATGACGTTGCATACGCTCGCCAGGTTGCCATTCGGAAATTGGGGTTGCTCACTCAATGCAACGAGACAACGGTCAACAGAACATACAACGAACTTGGAGGGGTATTTATTTTTAGTTTTTTGTTTTGTTTTTGCTTTTTTTCCCAAACAGTTTACTGTGAGGGGTTCTAAATTCATTTAAAGTGACTCGCCTATTGCCAAGCCATAGCCTGGATGCCTGGCACGGCTCTTTGGGTGGACGGTTCATTTGTCTCCCTTTGTCTCCCTTCATTTGCCTCCCGTTGTCTCCCAGCCTGGATGCCTGGCACGGCTCTTTGGGTGGACGGTTCATTTGTCTCCCTTTGTCTCCCTTCATTTGCCTCCCGTTGTCTCCCAGCCTGGATGCCTGGCACGGCTCTCTGGGTGGACGTCGTTCATTTGTCTCCCTTTGTCTCCCTTCATTTGCCTCCCGTTCTCTCCCAGCCTGGATGCCTGGCACGGCTCTTGATCTCTGGGTGGACGCGTTCATTTGTCTCCCTTTGTCTCCCTTCATGTGTCTCCCGTTCTCTCCCAGCCTAGATGCCTGGCACGGCTCTTGTCTCCCTTCATTTCTCTCCCGTTGTCTCCCGGATGCCTGGCACGGCTCTCTGGGTCTCTGGGTGGACGGGTTCATTTGTCTCCCTTTGTCTCCCTTCATTTGTCTCCCGTTGTCTCCCAGCCTGGATGCCTCTGGGTAAACGGGCTTATTTGTCTCCCTTTGTCTCGCTCTCTGCCTGCACAACTTTTCAAGCGGGCGCCCGACGCTCCTGGTGGTCTCCGAGCCTGGATGCCTGGCTTGTGAGTGGACGCTTTAAGTGAATGATTGTGTGTTGTTGGTGTGTTCCAGCTGAACACATCTGCGCGTTCCAAGTGAACACGTTTTTTTTGGCGTGTGACCGCACGAGTGTGTTCCACGTGAGTACATGTTTGTGTTCCAGATGAAAGCATGCGATTGTTCTGTAAAACACATGTGCGATCCGGTCAAAATTCTTAGTAAGGGAGCTTAGTCTACAGAGGACGCCTTCGCAGTCACTTTGTGCAGTTTTTCATTCACACAAAGCGGAGTCCTGCAAATACCAATGGATTGCCCGCTTGATTTGCGCTAGGGTCTTCTGTGATCTTGGTTTCCAACAGTTGGCGCGTGGGTTGCTGCGATGGGCCCCATGAAAAAGCGCCTCACAGGCGGCTTCGGGAACTTGATTTGTGTGTCGCACAGGCGTGCAGAGAATGTAAACTCCATGTGAACATATTTCTGTTGTCCAGGTGAACGCATGTGTGCTGCACAATTGTGTTGCACATGTTTCTCCACATGTGCACACACGTGTGTTCAATGTGACACATATGTGTGTTACAAGTCAGCACAGAAGTTTGTTCTGGTTAAACATGTTTGAGTGTTGCGCGTGAACACAAACGACTGTTCCAAGTGAGCGCGTGTATAGGTTCCAGGTGAACACAAATGTGTGCTGCAGGTGCACAGAAATGTGCTTTCCAGACATGCGCACATATGTGTTTCAGGTGTATGCATCTGTGTGTATGTTCCAGGAACACGTGTTTGTTATCAGACGAACACGCGTGTGAGTGTGTGTGCGTGTTCCGGGTGTGCATATATATGTGTGTGTTTGCGTGTACACTTTTGTGTGTTCCACGTGTACACACAGGTGTGTTCACGTGTACACATATGAGTGTTCCACGTGTACACATTTGTGTGTTCACGTGTGCACACATGTGCTTTTCAACTGGACACGTGTATGTGTTCCAGGGGAACACATGTTTGTTATCAGATGAACGCGTGTCTCCTCCGCATGCGCATGTATGTGTGTGTTCACGTGTGCGCATATGTGCGTCCCACGTGTACACATTTGTGTGTTCAAGTGTGCGCACATGTGCGTTCCAACTGGACACGTGTTTGTGTTCCAGGAGAACACATGTATGTAATCAGATGAACGCGCGTGTGTGTGTGTGTGTGTGTGTATAGGTCGGCTCCGCGTGCACATGTACGTGTGTTCATTTGTACACATATGTGTGTTCCACGTGTGCACAGTCGTGTGTTCCCGTGTGCACACATGTGTGTTCCAATTGGACACGTGTTTGTGTTCCAGGTGGACAGATGTGTGTTCCACGTGAACACATTACTATGTGCTAGGTGAACATTTTGTGGCATCTGACAACATATTTGCTCTCCAGGTATACACATTTATGTGCTCCAGAAAACGCATGTTTGTTTTCGAGGTCGCACATGTGCGTGTGTGCGCTTTAGGTGAGCATTTATGTTTGCTCGCGTGCGCACATGTGTGTTCCACGTGTGCACACATGTGTGCTCGAATCGCACAGGCGGTGTTCCTGGACACACATTTGTGTTCCAGTGGTATACATATGTGTGTCCCACATGTACACACATGTGTGCTTTAATTGCATTCAGGTGAACACACGTGTGTTCCACGTGTACACACATGTGTCTCTGAGTTGGACACGCATTTCATTGTGTTCCAAGTGAACACATCTGTGTTCCACGTGAAAACATTAGCGTGTCGTATATGAGCATATATGTGTGTTCCAGGTGTACACATGTGTGTGTGTGCTTTACAAGAAGCACACGCTGGTTTTCCAGCTCAACACACCTATGCGTGTGCCGAAGGTGAATGTATATGTGTGTGTTCACGGGTGCACATCTGCGCGTGCCGCGTGTACTGTTTCAGTCGTTTACATATGTGTGTTCCACATGTACACACGCATGTGTGTCTGAATTGAACATGTGTGTCTGAACTACCCATGTGACCGCGCGCTTGCGCAGCCACTTGCGTTCACGTGCGCGTGCTCGCCTGCTATCGTACGCGCTTGCCCAACCTCAGTTCCTGCGCGGTGCTGAGCGCGAAGCACGCCAGCAACACGCGTGCAGCAACGCAACGCGTGCCGGGTTCACGGCTGCATCATTTTGATTGATCCGTGTTGAAGCGCAGAAAGCCACAAGCTGTTGGCATGTTTGCGCTTGCCCGTCAGTCCTCAACTGTTTGGGGTCTCTGCTGGTGTATTTTTTTTTTCGCTTTTGGCTTTTTGGCTTTTTGGCTTCTTGGCTTCTTGGCTTTTCGGCTTCTTGGCTTCTTGGCTTCTTGGCTTCTTGGCTTCCTGGCTTTTTGGCTTCTCGGCTTCTCGGCTTCCTGGCTGTTCGGCTTCTTGTTGGTTTATGCGGCTTTTGGTGGCTTTTTGGCTTTGGCTTTTCGCATCCTCTGCATTCCCAGTTCCTTTTCGGCCGGTGGCGTTTTGGCCTTTGCGGCTTTTCGCTGGTTTATGCGGCTTTGGGCGGCTTTGGCTTTTTGCATCCTCCGCTTTCCCAGTTCCTCTCCGGGCGCATTGGTTTTTGGATTTGGCTTCCCGCATCATCAGCATCACCACTGTTATCCCTATTTAATCATCACTTCTTGGGGCAGCTCCCCCCCACCCACCTGGATTGTTTGCAGAGTAATTGCACCCCTATTTGAATCAACACTTCTTCGAACATCATGGTGGGGGCTGCCGCCTCCCCCCCAAACCCCCCCCTACTTTTTAGATTTCTTGCTGAGATTTAATTGCACCCCTATTTGAATCATCCCTTTTTCGAGCGTCCTATTTCGAGAGAAAATGATGTAAAACACGACATTTTAGGTAATCCATGTATGTCTGAATGTATGCACTTCTTCGAACATCATAGGGGAAGCCACCCCCGCCAACCCTCCCGCTGCCTTTTAAATTCTATCGCACCCGTTCTTGAATCATTGCACCCCTACTTGAATCATCACTTCTTCGAACATTTGGGGGGGGCTGGCACCCCCCCCAACCCCCCCGCAACGTTATAGATTTTCTACAGAGATTTAATTGCACCCCTATTTGAACTATCACTTCTTTCAACATCATGGGGGGGCTGCCGCGCCCCCCAACCCCCCCGCTACTTTTTAGACTTTTTGCAGAGCTATTCGAATCATCACTTCTGCGAACATCATGGGGGGGGCTTCCACCCCCCCCAACCTCCCCCCCCGCCGTTTTTTTTTTAGCAGGGATTGAAATGCCCTCCTATTTGAATCATGATGTCAACCCGCCAGCTGCTTTTTTGATTATGTTACTCACACTTTGTTGGTGATGCTAGGGATGTTGGTCGGACATGCGGGGGATGTTGAAAACGATGCTGGGGATGTTGGCGGGCTGTAAAATGCTCGAGAAAATGCTGTAAAATACAACATTTACTGGCCTGGACGAAAAACAAAATAAATCCGCTGATTATATGTTGATCGCTGCGCATTGCCGAGCCGCAGGCCACCTCAGCCGTGCGCGACAGCTTCTCCAAGGCGCGGGGCACGGTGCAAGACATGCTCTCAGCCAAATAGCCTTTACTTGGGGTTGGTCATGATTCCATGAGAATCCATCGTTCCATTCTGGTCAAAACACTCTTTTACATGGGCCGTGGTCACCTCAAGGAATTTTCATGATTGTTTCCATTCCCTATTTGACGGAACGAGGGCATTTACACAACCACTACACGAATTGTTTTTACACGGCTGCGCAGGTGTCCGTTTCACGGGCTTGCAAGCGTATGCTTGGCGGAAGACACATTCACCATGGCATGAAGCGGTTGCATGCCATGGTGTGGAAAGTACACCGATGTACCGTGCGAGCCATGGATTTGCACGTACTTGGCATCCACAGACGCTTGCAAGGGTTGGGGGGCTGGCCATCACCTTTAGTTGTGTTGATAGATGTGCAGAGGGTCTTAAATATCCGGGCATGGCTTTTGGCCAGGTTCAGAGTCTATCCACAGAAGCCTTGACTGGCATCCGAACGCAGATGAAGGAGACCAGGCAGCGCGTGGCAGAGGCGAGCCGAGTAGTAGAGGAGAGGAGTGGAGCGGAGCGGGGAGCCGAGGGAGAGGAATGGAGTGGAGTGAACATGGGTGAGTGAGAGAGCCAGCTAGCGAGCAAGTGAACGAGAGTGTTTCCTGTCGTTTGCTTGGTCCCCCATGCCGATCCCAAATGAACCATGGACTGGAACTTTGACGGGGCCATTGGGAAGTTCAAAACACGCGCCCCAGGCGGAGAAGGCCCTGCGGGCGGAAGTCGCACGCTCCTCTGAGGAAATCGCCGGCAAGGCGCGATGCCTCAGTCGCAGCTCGCGCCGCAAGGCAACCATTTCGCTGCATTGGTGTTGTATGTCCAATTTCCCAATTGGGTTTCCTGCAAATCTACATGATTGGTAGCTGATTCTGCTTTTGCTTGCACCTTAAGCAGAATGGAAGGGCAGGAAAGGGATCTGGATAAAATGTGGCCGCGAGCCAACGCTGGCATTATGTTCAGTGTCGCTCTATCCTGCTCTTAAGCGGATGCCAACATGCAACCCTCATCAGAGGGTTGCGAGTAGTGACACATGTCACATGACAAAGATGAAGGTTTTAGAACTTTGCCTCGAGTGCTTTTCGTTTTTTGGGTTCTGCTTACCTGCTGCTCTTTTGATTGCACGTGAGTGACATTCTGTGACTTGCTTGGATTGATCTTTGCTCCTACACCCCTTCCTCTTGTATTGCCGCACAGGCTAGTTCCGAATCTGTTCCCTCTGGGTAGGTACAGCGCAACTACTTGACCTCACATGACCTTGAAAGCATGCAAATGAATGCCTGAGAATGTGGCTACAGTTAATCTCTAGCCTCCGTCGAAGGGTCTCTAGGCCGCGAATTAGAGTCTTACCCGGGCATCCCATGCAAGAGTTAGATGCCGGGTCCGGGCTTATCTTTTGGACCCTCTTTTGGGGAAGCTACAGTTGGACCTGGCAGTGAGGAAAGCAAAGAGCATTCTTTCAAAGATGGTTCCTTAGTGGGATCAAAAACTAAACCCAGTCAGGTTGGCTCCGAGCAGGGTTTTCCTTTGTCGGAGAAACCATTTTGCAAATGAACCCCCTTGCAAGCGGGGTTTCTGTACGTTTACTGCAGGGGGTCTTTTCTATTTTCCAGAAGGCTTTCTCTAACCAGGACGCTGTGACTTTGCCAAAATTTGGAGAGTGCCCTCCAAAATAGGAACATGAGAAGGAACAGATGCACCCTGCTCGGCCGCCGAACTCAGGGATACCTCCCCAAACCTGAAGGATTTAGCCTTAGTTTGCCGTGTATTACCAAAGGGACGCTTTTGTTTTACTGTCCGCAAAACTGTTTCTGAAGGCACCCAAAGCAGGAGTAGGCCTTGCACCAAAGGCCAAATAAGCGGTTTTTGGGTCTCGCGGTCTCTCGGTGAAGCGGAAGAAGGGTATTGGGGCTGCGTGGGTCTTTGGGTGGACTCACAGTGAGTCCCAAAACAAAAAGCTCACATGCAGGAAGCCAACCGCATTGTTTTTTCCATCCCCCATTTTCCCAGGCGGAGTCGGAGGCGCAGCAAGCCTCACAGATGGTCTCCCGCCTGGCCGCAGGTGTGCGGGGTGTGGAGGAGCACTCGAAACTCGGGCTTCAGATGCCAAGGGCCCGCTGAAATCTCTTTTGAAGCTATGCCAAGGTTGACTAAATACGCGACTGCCTGTATTTCAACACAAGGGAACACCCCGTCCAAAACAACGTAGCACCACGACACTTGTGGTGGTGAATATCACAAACACCTAGCGGCGTTGGAAAACGAGGTCTGCAGGGTTGGAGAACGCGGTGGGAAAACCCGACCGTTCAACCACGTAGCAAGTAACTCCCACACTTGCAGCTCAAATATGGACCAGAATCATCAAACAAGATGTGTCAAGCAAGATGTTTAGGGGCAACTGCTGAGGTAGTGGTGGTTGTATGGTGTTGCTGAAGCTTTATGCTTTCCATGTAAAAGTACTGTAAAAGGGTTGTCGTACGTGTTTTCCTTGAAACCAAGAAAACCTCTACCAGTTGAGGGGTGTGTTTGTGGCTGTGTGTGTGTGTGTGTGTTGGTTTGTTTGTTTGTTTCTTTCTTTGTTTGTTTGGTTGGTTGGTTGTTTGTTTGGTTGTTTGTTTGTTTGTTTGGTTGGTTGGTTGGTTGTTTGTTTGTTTGGTTGTTTGTTTGTTCGTGTGTTAGTGTGCTTGTGCTTGTGCTCGAGTTCGTGTTTGCTTTTTGTTGTTGTGTGTGTGTGTGGTGTGTGTGTGTGTGTGCATGTGTGCGCGTGTGCGCGTGTGTGTGTGTGTGTGTGTGTGTGTGTGTGTGTGTGTGTGTGTGTGTGTGTGTGTGCATGTGTGTGTGTGTGTGCATGTGTGCACGTGTGTGTGTGTGTGGGTGTGTGTGGGTGTGTGTGTGTGTGCGTGTGAATGGTTTAACGGCACACTGACTGCGGCCTATCTTTGCCCAACTATTTCACACCTTGTTTCCCCTTAGCCCCTAGAAAAGAAGAAAAATGCCCTCACAAAAGCTATCATGTGCAAGCAGCAGGCGCCATTTAAGTTGGGACACCCTTTCAAAAGGCCACATGTCGCTGCAATCTGTGATCGATCCACGGGACTTTTATTCGCTCGTTGCACGACCCTCACAGTGTTTGAGTCCCATGAAGCCGCACACTGTTTAAATCTTCTGGTGGTTCTGTTTTAAGGGGAATTACATGAGACCTCACATGTTCGCGTGTCTTTTGCTGAGGGTTGGGGTTGTGAAGGGAAGCACAAAGGGCCCATTTTGGGTGGATTCCCCAGTTTGGGACAGACCTGTCAGGGAACCCCGTTGAACCCCGCCCATTGTTGGGGAGTTCTTTGCTTCCAACCCAAAACGTGAAATTCAGATCAGCCCGGAGGACTCTGCTAATCAGAGGCCGCCCAACAAAAACTAGAGCATCCCTGTACTACGAGGGAAATCACCCCTGATCAGTACTGATAGCTTAATCCGAAGTTAGCGTTAGGGGGCTTGCTCATGACCCAGTCTTGGATGATTTTGCTTTGGGTTCGCAATCGGTTGCCTTGGTTCCCTTTGGGTTTCGCACGGATCATCAATCGGTTGCCACTCGAAGGAGATGGTGGAGCGCAGGACTCAGGGCATGGCGACAGAGCTGGAGGCAGGAATATGTGTTCGGCCCGATTTCGGGGCGAAGAGGAGCCGATTTCGGGGTGGAGAGGAAGCGGCCGGTGGATGTTTTGTGTTTGAGTCTTGTAGATATTCTTTTGTTTCTTTGAGTCCATGGTGCAATGGATCGCACCATCTGTTGGTGGGAAACCGCCGCATGCCAAGGTAGCGGTTGCTTGAAGCCAGAGACAGGGAAACACATGTGCCCCTTCTTGGCGCTTTCAGCAGGAACTGCAAGTCTACATAGAACCCCTTTCGTTGCACAAATTGACCTCTTGAAGGAAGGCCCCAACTCTAACGAGAGACATTAGTCAATTGCGTTCTAAGAAGGTCTCTTTAAAGCAGGGAAATGCACGCAGGGCGTCGCTTCGGCAGGCATTCTGCCAGTCACAGCATCTCAACACGGGCTTTCGACAATAAGCAGTGAGCCCTGCAATCTTTGCATTGGTGGTGGCAAGCTCAACTTGGAGGTCACCTATGATCAAGGTCACTTGCTTTTGGATCACCGAATTCGGCTTGTTGAAACATAGAAACCTGTGCAGGCTTGTCTCGTGGCAGCGTGGGTTTATAGGGATCATCATGATTTTATGCAACACGTGTAATACATTTGTCATTGTGACTATGATCCATGCAAGTCATTTGACCATGGCACACGGATCAACATGTTGGATTTCATGCGACATGTGCCTCAGCTAGGGCTTCATTGTTTGATTTCTCAAGGTAGACCCACACCCAGCTCTTGGCGATTTTTCGAGAAAGAACCCCATGTCTTCCGTTCATTACCTGTGATGCCACAAAGCAGCTAGACTATGCGTAGTCACCTGCGAGGCAAGTCAGCAGTTGGAACCACAGCACCTAGTCTGGCAGACAAGCCGGACAATCGCTGATTCAGCTTTTGGAATTATTTCAGATGTTTCTTCGTGGGCTGTTCATCCTAAATCCTCTATATCCTTCCCCAAAAGGGGTACAACAGGCGTTGCTTCTTTTTTTCTGTTTCTGACCAAGTTCTTACAGAACATCGCCCGACCCTGATTGGCCCAGCCTTTTGGGATGAACTCGCAACTGGTCGTTTCTCCTCGTGGGGCCGGGCAGAGTCTGGAAGGAAGTCTTGACCTGCTGACTCCCAAAAACCGGCGCAGCTTGGCGACGAAGGGCCAACAAGGGCTCCAACTCCCTACGTCTAGGGAGGATGGTCAACCCAAACCTCATGCATTTGTTGGTTGGCCTGGCGGTTTCTTAGGTATGCGGAATGTGGTGTGTTCGGTGGATCAAACAAGGCTCTTTGTTTTCTTTGCTCAAGGAAATGCCTTGGTTCAAGACCTGTCACCGCTTTGATCCAGGCCTCCGTGACCGCCGTCTCCTCGTTGGGCGCTGCCTTCTCGCGCAGCGCGCGCGCCATGTCCTCGGAGGCGGACGTCGGTTGCGGGTGGGGCCATGTTGAATATCACACTTGCGAGATTCGGAGGAAGCCCTATCATTCAGCTGATTTGTCGATGTAGCTTTTGCGGAGCCCTGTTCAACGGGGTTCGTCCGACCCCACCCCTGAAGTATGCGGAAGTGGAGGTGTACCCCCGGCTGAGGGCCACCTCCCGAAACATGTTGCCTGTGTGGAGTAACCCTTTTGCCTTTTAATTGATTAATCTCCAATATCCTCAGGGTGGCTAGTTTTCCTGAAAGAGGCAAGGAGCGGATGGATTTGGGACCAGTGTTTTGAACAATGTAAAGCTGTAGTTTGTAGTTGTTCACAGAGCTGATGTCGATCCTGTTGATCCTGGTCCTTGGTCCGCATTTTTTTCCTTTGGTCATCTCCACACGAAGCCAAGCTCTGGCTGATCGGTATTCTTCTTTTCGTTGGCTGGGTTGGATCAGCCCCTGTTGAAGCATGTGATGCAACACCACCTTTGTTGACGCAGCCTCTTGTTGTTTTCCTCCAAAAGGAACCAGGGTCTGTTTGTTTCAACAGTGTTTTTGTGCACGCTGATTTCCTCTTGGCGCTCAGGGCGGTGCTTTCAAGACCTTCGACACATGTCCTTGAAAGAACCCTGCAAACGGCGACGACCCAGCGGCTTTAGGAGGCGCCATGCTGGGGTTGGACACCCCGACTCGTGCGTTACCCGTAGGAGCGCACTGCACTTAGTCTTAGTTTTCCGATTTCTGCATGTCACCAGTTTGTCTTCAGGCAACGACGATGTAGTACTGGCTCTCATTTGGACGTTGTCCCCAACTGCTTTCCATAGCTTGACTGAAGTTGTGGAAGTTTCGGTTTTAGGGGTCACTTTTTGTGATAGCATGTGGATCCCCTTGTTGTTTAAAGCGGTGATAAGGGACGGCCCACTGGGGCATCACTGCAAGAGCCTGTTCCAACGGCTGCATCCACAGTTGGAGCCATTTCGCAGCTGTCCCCGTGCATTTCCAAGAGTAAGGCCTTAGTAGGGGGTCGTTTCCCCAAATGAACCTGACTGAGGTCTTTGCTATAGTCTAAGGGGATCTAAGGGATGCATGGGGGGTCACTGTGGGGGGGATTCTCCAGGAGTGTGTTGTGGCAGGTTGCTGCAGAGAAAGACCGCGCTGCACGGGTGGAGGAGGACATCGTTGCTCGGTTGAGGAGGCTGGAAGTCAGGGTTAGTATTTCCGCAAAGAGCCCGCTGGAAGACGGCAGGTCGATCGTGTAGTGGACTCTTGTTCTGAAGAGCCAGGAAGCACAAGCAACAACTGTGCTACAACATCATATGACGCCTGATAAGCCCCTTAGTTACCATGGAAGATGCCCCCTAAAGAGACAAGACTTGGTAGCAGCTTGCAAAAACATAACAAGGCTTGGGTTGGCTTGTCCTCCCAAATTACACCAGCATAGACCCCAGATAGCACACCACGACTGCGAACCATGACGCAGCACTATCATGATGATGTAGACAGCACCATGATGATACCACAGCCACCGAGCATGGTGCGCTAAACAAACGCGCAGACAACGTCCTAATGAGTTCAGCAGCATAATGATGATGTTGAGAACATCATGCTGCAATGCTGATACACCAGCCACGACGAGTCCCCGCAACATATCTGGCAGGCAAAAGCGTCCTGATGAGTTCGACAGCATCATGATGATGCGGACAGCATCATGATGATGTCGGACAGCATCATGGTGATGCGAACAGCATCATGCTGATGGTAAAGGCAGCATCAGGATGATACCACAGCCACGAATCATGTTGCGAAAGCGTAATGAAATTCAGCATCATCCTGATGTTGACAGCATCACGGCGCCACAACACCCACAAACCATAACACAGCATCGCAGTGACCCCAGCGGCATCATGACGTGGTTGAGAACATCATGACGATACACCAGCCACGAACCATTACGCGCGAACAGCATCCACCAGCATGCCCCTCCACCAGCACCCGGCCGTCAAGCTCGCATGCCCCCTAGCACCCGGCCGTCAGGCTCGCAACCCCCCAGCACCCGGCCGTCCACCAGCACCCCAAACTGCATGCCCCCGAGCACCCGGCCGTCAAGCTCGCAAAGCAGCATCCACCAGCACCCCAAACCGCCTCAAACTGCATGCCCCCTAGCACCCGTCCGTCAAGCTCGCAAAATAGCATCCACCAGTCCACCAGCATCCCAAACTGCATACCCCCTAGCACGGCCGTCAAGCTCGCAAAACAGCATCCACCAGCACCCGAAACTGCTTGCCGCCTAGCACCCAGCCCTCAATCTCGCAAATCACTTTCGCATTGTGGCTAGAAGTTAGAACCCCTATAGCTTTCAGCTATCTGGGGAACTAGCACCCGGCCCTCAATCTCGCAAATCACTTTCCCACCGTGGCTAGAAGTTAGAACCCCTATAGCTTTCAGCTATTTGGGGAATAAATCCATTGTGCTTGGGTGGTTTTACCGCGCAGAGATGGAACATTGGACGTCCCTCCAAAGAAGCCACAGGGGAACGCCGGGAACGCCAACTTTTTACTTGTTTCTTTCCAGACCCATTGCTTTTGAAAGCCAGGTCCTGGCCAAGCTTGCGAGGGGAAACCTCTCGATTTGTTCAAACGACAATAGTAAGGAACCCTGAAAATTGTTTTATTGCTAAAGTCAGCAGCACTTCTGGAACCCAGTTTTTTTCGCAAAGACCCACGTCGTCAAGGAAAGCAAGGTGGAAATACCTGACTTGTTCAGTGTTTCAGCGTTGCCCGGCTCTTTGGTACTGGGACGGACCCCTGCATTCAAGAGCTGAATTTGCAGCGTCAGCGGTTTTCGTTGTGTTGGCTTGAGAATCACGTACACCTACGAATTCTGGTCATGCCAGCTGTTCGCTTACCCACCCGTCGCAGCTGGCACCTAGTCAGTCAGAGAGAATTTGGCCGCTGACTAGTGTCAGGATTTTGACTGTTTCTGGGGGTTATCAAAGTCAGAACATGGGCTTGCTTCCCTTTATCTCACCACTTAATTAGGGGGTGACTTTGATCATGGCAAAATAATGAGGCCAGACTGATCAAAAACATGATTTGCTTGGCCTGCTGTGAAAACGGTTCAGGTGGTGCTTGATTGCTTGCAATAAGTTAATATGCGCTGCAGGCAAACCGCCAGAAAAAGTTAAGCGGCCTGGCCCCAAGGCGAATTGCTTAGTTTTAGCACAATTCCCGACGAGAGCAAATGCGACGAAATCGGGAAGGTGGTATTTCTGATTCTATTTGGCACCCATTTAATCTGCCCGGGCCAACAGCCATGGTTGCTCTCCCATTTAGATCACCACAGCATGTTTGTTTCTCGTATATGTGTGTGTGTTACGCATGCATGCATGGACGCATGTGTGCACCCATTCATCCATGCATGCATGCAGGCATGCATGCATGCATGGCATGCATGCATGCATGCATGCATGGCATGGCATGCATGGCATGGCATGCATGCATGCATGCATGCAGACAGACAGACAGACAGACAGACAGACATACATACATACATACATACATACATACATACATACATACATACATACATACATACATACATACATACATACATAAAAACATAAAAACATACATAACATACATAACAACATAACGACATACACAAAGACATACATGAATGCATACACACAAACATACATGCATGCATACATGCATGCATGCATACGTACGTACATACATACATACATTGTATACATACATGCATTCTGACTTACAGACATACTGACATACATACTGACATACATACATGCATACATACCTACATACATACATACATACGTACATACATACATACATACCGGCATGACTACATACCATACATACCATACAGAGCATACATACCATACATACCATACGCACCATACGTACCATACATACCATTTATGCATGCATGCATACACACACATACATACATACATACATACATACATACATACATACATGCATGCATGCATGCATGCATGCATGCATGAACGCATACACACACACCCATACATACATACATACATACATGCATACATACATACATACAGAAAGACAGACAGACAGACAGACAGACAGACAGACAGACAGACAGACAGAAAGACAGACAGACAGACAGACAGACGGACAGACAGACAGACAGACAGACATACATCTCTATATATATATATATGTTCATACATACATACATACATACATACATACATACATACATACATACATACATACATACATACATACATACATACATACATACATACATACATACATACATATACATCTATACATGTTCACACGTGTATGTATATATATATATATATACATGCATGAGTGCTCAATCGGGTAAGTTGTCTCGCAAAACCTGGGGAGGTTTGAGGAAGCGGTGAAGCGGCAATCGCAGTCTCAGGCTGCGAGAAGGGGCGCCGGTTGGGTCGCCGTGCGGCGGGACCTGTTGTTGAGAAGAAAGAAGCGCTGAAGCCTTTTGAGCAACTTGAGGTTCTGTTTCTGGCAAAATCAAAGGGCTTTTCTGGAGGTGGGTGGGGTCTTATTCGAATGCTGCCTTTTCAAAAATTAAATGGCCTAGCGCAGGATTCCTTGCAGGCCAATTGTTTCCCCGAAAGTGTACCATCCATTTTAGCTGAAAATTCGACCGCCTCTCCCTGAAAAAGGTTTCTTCGAGTCGGAAGGTATCCAAAAGCGCCGCAAAGTAACATGCAAGCATTGGTTTGCACGTACATGTAAAAAGGGCCCAGAGTCTTTCATGAACTTGATAGTTGGAACACCGTCAAGTTGTCAAGTGTTTTTTCGACGATATGCATCCTCATTTCGTTTTGTGTGGTGTTTTCCGGATTCTGATAGATTTTGTGGTTTTCAAGCAGATTTTGAGGCCACAGAAGCACCTCGACCCTCAAACATTGTTTCGATATACATCCTCACGTTGTTCTGGTGATGTCCACCACAAGGTCCCCCTATCTAGATTCTAGATTGACTGCTGTGTGAACAGGGGGCTACCCCCGTTGCGAAGTTCAAACGGCAAGCGAAATGCCATCAACCATTCTCATGAACCTCTCAAACGGGCTATAGAAAAGGGGGCTACCTGGACTGGAGAAGGTCAGGATATGCCCTCAAGAAGGCCTTAAGGGTTTAATCAGGGATAGCCCCCTTGGGCGTCCACGACAAGCCCATGGCCCGCGATTTGCCAGGCGCAAGTGCTAGATGAGCTCCACGAGGTTGGCCATCGGAGGGGTTTCTGTGGGCGGTGTGAAGCTCTACGAAGAAACGCTTATATCAACAAACAGGTTGGGGTTGTTGAAAAACAACAAAAACAAGTCGGGGATGCAGCTGGACTTGCAAAGCTTGGAGAATGACGGAACTCTATCCGGAACTCTATCCTGATCCCTTCTAGCTGGCTCCCTGCAGATGAATCAGAGGCGGTTTCCACCCACTAAATTAGGGGACTTATCCATTTTCGGAGACACCTCTGAGAAATGGTGCTGTCCCGCATTGGTGAAGGAGCGTCCTGTCCTGGATATGCTCGGGTCTCGACACCCTAAGGTGGCAATGACACGCCACGACCCCCAAGCCTACAACGTCCTGGCATAGACCGCTCACCGCCCCTCACCCCTGAAGGCGGGAAGCATTTAATCATTGGGACCCAAGGCGGCGTGAGACACCCACGCTTGGCTCCAGCCTGGTCGCTTCTTAATTGGCCACACTAAGAAACTCGACAGTGTTAATCTTTGTCAAAGGAAGCCATAAGAGTATGGATAATTGCGTTGTTTTCAGGCTCTTGTTTTGTTCCATATATGATGTTCTATTTGTTTCCAGAATCGATTGTTCACTGTTTATCCCATTTCGCACCCAGCTATCACTCAGCATCTCCATGCTGTGGCTGAGCAGCTTTGGGGGGGGGGGGGCATGTTGTTTTCACCACTATTTTTGAGACGTTCACTTCAAGCAACCCAGCACTGCCCAGCACTTGCAATAGCAACCGTTCCACTGGCACATCATGAACGGTCACGTACGGTAGAACAGAGGATGACACACCATCCAGACTACAAAATTCGGAAATAGTGCATCAAATACTGTCTCCTTTCCACAGTCCAATGTCTTGAGAGGCAATCAATGCTGGGCGTTGCTGGGATTGTTGTGTGATCATTACATAGGGCGAGGCGCTAAATTCATACTCATAATATGATCACGACTCTTTGTTTTAAAGTACCCCGCGACCTCATTCTAATATTTTCTGCCCTTTGCCTTTTCTGATCTCCAAGATCGTCGACGTCTGCAGGTAGCCACTGCCCGTGATCGCAGGCCGTTGCAGCAGCGTCAGAGCGCCGGCTCGGCGCTTAGGGTCTTGTCAAAGACAGTCGTCGTGAAATGCAGTTAGCCCCCCGTCACTGGCGGCCTCTCTTGATGTAGATATACTTGTATACTTTATATTGGAGCGGTCACTGCACATTATTGCCAGAATCTATCACTGTGATTCTTGGTTGGGGGCAAAAGCTGAGGGGTAGTCATGAGGGTGTGCCCCGAACATGCGATCAACAGATTGTGGACATTACATAGCCTCACGTCTGTATAGTTGGTCTATAGGACAAATTCCCATTTTTATATCACTAAGGGAACCTGTCAGGGGGCAACCACTTCTGCCAGCTCAGTCGCGTGCACCCTTGACCATGAATCTGCTGCAATCCCCCTCAGCCAGTTGACATGCTGCACTCTTTACAACTTAGGATCAGGAAAACGAGGTTGACCTAAAACCGGGCGCTAAAAATAGTGCACAATGTATGATTTCTCCGGTCAGGGCTCCAACTTTGGTTGGACGCAGATGCCCACCCCTGCAACTCTCCAGTTGGAGGATTGATCCCTATTCTCAGATACACACACACACATTCCAATTGGATATGGACCCCCTCTTCCATTTTTTCCCCTTTGCCCTTGCAGCCCTGCAGATTAACTAGCATAGAACCCAGTGTAGAGGCGTTGGTCCATGTTGAGGGTACCATGAGGGTAATTTTGAGGATGCCACTTTGCTGCAAGGTTCAACGTTAGTCCACATTGGTCCAGTGGACTGGTGCGTCACCACGACGAGTCCTGGCTTTGGGCTCGGTCCAAGGCGTGGCGAGGAACAGGCCCTTCTCAAGAAGGCGGAAGCCGCTTCGTTGTGCGGTGCACCCTATATACTATACAATTCTGCGATGCGGTACGGACACATTAGGGTCTATTTGGCGTGGCCACCTTTTTCAGGTCATCGGATGGTTTCGTTTGCCGGAGGAGTTTACAGGTTTAGGCTCATACTTAGACTTTGGGCTTGTAAATTTGACTTTGGGTGTCCATGGCACGGATTTGGAGCAAATGATTGGGGCACCGGAGGGTCCCACGGATCCAGTTGAGGTTTTCCACGCCCCTTTTGATGTGAATGTCGCCAGGGATGTGGAAACGATGAATGCATCACATCTCCAACTGGGGATGCAAAAGAGATGTGAAGTTCTATTTCGGAAACCACAGGGAAACCATAGGAAATGCTTCAGAGTTAGCCGAACCCTGCAGCCGCTTTGGGACAGCTTGATGAAGGCTTCTTTCATAGAACTCGGTTGCCAAGGGAACATCACCAGTGGGTTCTTTTAGCATACGCTGATGGTCAGGTTTCTTTGGCGGTACCTTTTCTTTCCCCCCAAAAAATGGTTACGGTGCAGATGCAGTATTCAAGTGGCACCCGAGGATCCTTTGCAAACGAGGGTTTGGTTCCACTGAGCTTTGTGCAAGTTGGGCTGTTTGGTCCTGGACAAGTACTACACTTGGTCTCCTGAGGCGGCAACTTTGGTCTGGGACAACTGTGATGGCCATGTTGGAGAGCAGGAGTCCTGCTACCGGCTAGATCAGCAAGCTGGAAAGTAGAGCGAGCTGGCAAATGGAAGACGCCCCATTTTCGACATGCGCTGCTTGTGCACAGCTTTGTCCGGAAATGTGCTGAAATGTTTTCGGAGCAATGGTCCACTCAAGTGACAACTGCTGTGGGGAGGTTGACCCCCAAAAAGACAATGGAACAATGTACCCTGCCCATTCGAACAGTGACCCCTCGATGTAAACAATGTACCAGCCTCCAATTCGAACATGGACGCGCCCTCGACCAAAGACCCCCTTTGAATAATGGAACCCTCCAAACAATCCAACCCATGCGCATTCTCCCGAGATTAGGCCGCAAAACCAGGGAACCAGCAAACTTTGCAATGTCCATTAATTCCCAGTGCTTCAGTGGCACCTTTCTTTATAATGACCCTCAAAGGGTTGGTACCAGAACCCTTTGGCCGAGGCCGCAGAACAGCTGGAAATTTGACAATGTATTGAGATGTCCATTTCGCTAGGTGCAAGATGTCCTGCGCTCCACCAAAGACCAGGCGCCTAAGGAGCGGCGAGAGACCATCGAGGCCTGACGTGCATGGGGTTCAGATGAATCACTAAGAACCTAACGTGGTCTGACCTCCCAATGTGCAGGTTTATTGGGGACAAAGCTGATGCGCTGTGGCCTTGCCGTCCCTTGCGTTGCTTTGGCATGTTTCGTGTTGGGGAGGACCTGCTGGGCATCTCGTAGACCTTCGTGTAATGCCGGGGCTTCCCCGTAAAGGACATAGGATTCCTCTTGGAGATATGCCAAACTCCTTCGCGAATGGCAGACCGGGCAAGTTATGGCGACCTGAGGGATAGCGCTGCGTTCGGGTTGTTCGCTCTTTTATGTGTCTCTATGTTCAGGTTTCCTTTGAACCACCCCAGTGGGATTTCCTAGATTGGTACCGACCTCATGGGACCCCACCATGATCAACCTTGTCCACTTTTTACTCCCAAAGTCTCCCAAACCTTTAGCGGACCTTTTTGCCCTTGTGTCCTAGTAGGTCTCCACCATTTCCCAGCGCAAACGCTGACGCATGTTTGGCCTAAGTTTTGTTGAGGTTTGAAAGCTGTCATGTTGCCATTTGGCTACCAGTTTCAACCTGACTCTGCACCTCTGATTTACAGCTTTCAGGCTCCGCGCGCCGTGGCTTAAGCCCTCCTCCCGCTTCGAATGCCGTCTCAGCAGGGAGTCCCCACAAGGAGGGGCTCAGCTGATTGCCCCCCAAGCTGACCACAATAGGTATGCCGAATCTCACCTTTGGGTTTGGCAGAGTTGCGCAGTGGCAGCTGTATTAGCTCTTGGCTGTCCTTTCTCCAACATCAAATGCTAGCCAATAAAACCAAAACGACCAAGTGGCTTGTTTCTTTTCCTTTTGGTTTTGTGTGTGGGTTCCATAAACAACCAACTTTTCATGCTGTGCTTCCCGTAGCCAGGCAAGTAAGTTGGGTTTATATGGTCAGTACGCAAACTGCATATTGGCAGACCAACAAGCGTTCGATACCAAAAGGGGCTGTGTTTGAGGGTCCCCTTTTGCGGGGTGGAGCAACATTCCACCTACTTGTTAACATAGAGGTCAGAAAAGCTCAGATGGGTGTGTCAAAAACTTGGGTGCTCCCTTTGGGATGGTGCTAAAGGGCTGCCAAGATGAAACAACCCGATTTGCAGGTGCCTCAATTTACGCCTTAAGGCCAGCAACAAGTTGAGACGACCTTGCAAACGGAGACGGAGACCGTGGCAAGGCATTGTTCGAGTTCCTATGTTAGTATAATCCTTGAGCTGGGTTGCTGAGCATCAGTACGCCAGATGTGAATAGTTTCCCTGGTTGTAGTGGTCCCACGACGGGTGTCGGATTAGGATCAGGAATCCCCCCAGTTTGAATCCGGTTTTAACCCTCCTTCGCACCGTGAGCCACCTGTGAAACCTGTAGGCCGCCGGGCGCGCGGTGGCTGAGGTTCGAGTGGCAGATTTGGATGGGGGTCGGAGCGAGATGGAGGCCGAATACTCGACTGGAAGATTGGACAATTGTTTGGGGGTGCAACTTCCCAATATGCCCTCTGCGAATCTGGGTTTTTGTCATGAAGTAGCCATGGATCGATGGGCATCCCACTTTGGTATCACGAAGAAGAAACGTCGGGAACCCATGGCCTGAACGAACCTAAGCTTGGTGGGTCTTCAGCCCTAGGAAGAGCACCGGGATGTACAGCTACATGGTTTCAAATGGATATGAATCGAACGGACATCACTTAGGTGGGAATTGATATCCATGAGCCACTTTTCAGGGGTTCCCTGCTATGAGTGTTCTTTTGTTTTCGCCCTTGCAATGTTTGGTGGAAAACAAACCCCTTAGTTTCTCCATTGCCCATGATTTGTGTTGTTTGAAAGCGGTGTTTTGCCCTTGAACCTGCCAAAAGGGTCTGAGACTGGCTGGTGTCGTTTTTCTCGCAGGTTCCCTATCGGAAGTAAAAAAGGGTTTGATGCAAGATTTTCGGTCAGAACAAACCGGTTTGTTTTGCAGGCGAAGCTAACAACGACTCGCAACCACGCAACTGTTGTTTCGCGGTTGTCCAAAGAATCGGGGGAACCCCAAAAGCAGCTGTTTCCTTCGGTTTTCCCTTGAAGAATAACACAACCAATACCCTCGAACATGACATGCTGAAGCTTGACGACCCTGAACACTACACGCACAATTATGCAAAACCGACCAGGGACCCTTAGTCGCTTCAAACGCGGTGTTTGTTATTGGGAAGGCCTACCCGGAGAAGGGAACCATTGCCACAAGGCTGCACAGGCCCGGGACAAAAAAAAGCATTGCCCCAAGGCAGGGATGTCCTTTCAAGTCTTCTGAGTCTTCGAGGCGAAGCCTTTGGCCTTTCAAGCCCAGATTCCTGTTTTTCAGAGCCCAGAGGGTTTCTTTTACATCCGGATCGCTGAACTGTCGACAGATTCTCTTCCAAAGCTTGTAACGCCGCCAAAGTTGGTTGGACTCCCTGTCGGATGTTTGAAGGGAAACCAACAGCAAGGCCATTAGGAGGCCCCTATTTTAGAAAAAATGAACTCACCTGGATGTGTGGTAGAACGAGTAGCAGGTGACGTCAGACACATGGAGATGTGTCCAAACTAGGGTCGTTTCTTCGTACGGTTTCAAGCAAGAATCCACATCAATTATTCTTTTTGGGGTTCCAGCCGGTTTTGACGCTCCCACGAGTCACATCATGACACGTTGTCTTGTCAGAGTTGAACTGGCGCAAGTGTAGTTGCAAGTGAGACAGATGACTGGCTTTCAGAGAGCAATGAGGGGGAGGTGGCCATTTTGCCCCAGCCAAGGAACACAAGAGCAGACTGGAGCCTTCCAACCAGACAGTTAGAGACCACCGATGGACCTGACGCAATGCATCACGGCACACCCAGGGACGGCACACCCACGGACTCGGGAGGAGATCACAACCTGTTGTTCAAGTTCTGTGCTCGCCCTTACTTCAGTAAGCGATAACTTTTCAGCGATACGTTCTCCCACGGGAAAACAACATCTGGTTCGACATGCTTGGTTGTCAGAAGTATGTGTATGTGCGGGTTTGCCTCGTGATGCATCATTCTTTGAGCATTTCCCCGCAGCACAAACGCCGTGCCACAAGTGAAGCCAGAGGTCTAAACTTGATTGGATGCCGGCTTGAAGTTTGTTCGCCTTCAGCCCCAGGGTTGCGGGAACGAGGGATTGATCCCCACTTCTGTGAGGCCAGAAAAACGCTCCCCGTATGGAGAATTCGTCATGTCGAAGGCCTTCCATTGGCGGAGCTCAGGACCTCGCCCTGGCCGTGGCTCAAGGGGCAACGCCCGACGCGCGTGGAAGCGAAGGGTTTTCAGGCTTGGCTGTGGGGAGAGCTGACACGCAAACATGTTGCTTTCCAGACCTCGCCGTTGCAAGATAGTTTCGCCTCTCAGAGAGCGTTCACAGATCGGGTTTCGCTTCGGTTTCCCTTCATGTCCGATTGAAGGAGAAGCCATGGCGTTGAGTTTAACAAATTCTGACCTGTTTTGCTGTGGGTTTGTGATAATTCTCCCAGCAAGGGTTTGATGAACTATGGTTGGGCAACGTTTGGTCATGGAAATCCGAAAGGTTATCTCCAAGAGCCAAAGCCCAAACAGCCAACTAAAAAGAGATTTGGGTTGTCTCCAAATCAAGGGGCTTCCAAAGCTGCTCGTTTCCTTCCGGCTTCCCTCCAAAACGACACCCATGTAATGGATACAGGGGGAACGTTCCAGACATGGCAGCGGCTTTTTGATAGATCCTTGCCAGTTAGAGGTAGTTTTGTCCCTCGAGTTTGCATTCAGATAGGTCTCCCTTTTGGTTTCCCGTCAAAAACGTGCCGGTAGAAATCCGGTGCCTTCCCTTCAACTCAACTACCCAAAGAAGGGCGCCGCGTTTTTGTTGTTCCCGTGGAAATCCACTAGAGCCAACAAGACGGGGCTCGACCCATTGAGCAGACCCAAGTGCGAACTTGACCCGCCCGGCAGGTGGCCACAGAGGATGGCCGCCCGCCGTGGCTTGGCATGGAGCCGACGAGAAATCTTCAAGCCATATGCGCCGTCCCGTGTGTTGGAAACACCTTTTGGAACCATTTGGGAGTTGGCAAAGTGCCCCTTTTTGGAGCCCATTTCATTGGGAAGGAGGGGCAACATGACAGTCAAGCGGTCCCAAAAGGCCTCTTTTGGGGGTTACTTGAAAGGAAAACCAAGGGGGACCAAATAAACCCTGGTCGTATGATGGGTGTTTTAAGAACTATCAGAAACAAGGGTATTATCAGGTGTTTCTGTTTCCGTTTGGCTTTTTTTTTGCAAGGGGTCCTGCACATCGGCGCGAGGGCGGCTTGAAGAGGTCCCCCATCGTAGGACACACCCGTATTATGTAGATTGCCAACATCCTGCACCAGTTGGAATGGATGAAACCTTATGAATACTGGGAGAAACGGCCTACCAACTGGTCCGTCCACTGTGGGATTTAGGAGAATGGAAGGGCTCAACCGATGTCAGCCGGCTGAGGCATTGATGGCCTTTACTGCACCCAGGAAACTGCGGAGGACACAGTGAGGCCTGCGTGGGCGAGCAGCATCCAGCACGCTGTTGTTGTTTTCCACTCAGAGTGGCATTTGAATTACACCCTCTGGGAAGGGCGAGGAGGTCTCCTTTGGGGGTCACTGGGTAGCCATCTGCCAGTCCAGCGGTTTTGAGTGCTGCCCCTTGTGCCTGTAGGATGAATCACTCGCATGTTTCAACGGCCAACATCGTGTACAGCTCACTTTGGGATGCTATCAATGCGCACGGCACGGCAGAGCACGACACCGCACCGCACCGCACTGCACACTCCGCGCGCACCGCACAGACGGCACAGCACCCTCCCAGCCAGCTAGCCAGCCAACCCCCCCCCCCCCAGCCAGCTAGGCACGCACTCACACTCACACACGCACACACACACACACAAACACACGCTTACACACACACTCTCTCATATTCACACTCACACCACCTAATTACTCACACACACTCGTTGCATGAGTTGGTATGAATGCAGAGGCAATTGCCATCGCGAAAAGCCTAACACAACAAGCAGCAGAAGAGTGGAGTTTCGTCAGCTCACCCTCCCGATCCGTTCCCATACGTTGTCTACTCATCAGAGCCTACATCACCGCCGCATGGTACTATTAACGGGTGCAGGTCCGCCGGAGTAGGCCAGCTCCACGCAAAGAAAGCGAGCCCTTAAGGGCAGGGTTTTCACACACACACACAAACACACCCTGAGAGGGGCCTCCCATTCGGCTCGACGGGATGGTTCTTTCCGCTCCTGCTGCTTGCCTCTCGCAATCCCACCTAATTGTGTTGTTTCGCTTGTTTCGTTTCGCAGCACCCACTAGGAACTGATTGCTTGCCTGGGTTGGACTGGTTTGGTCGCAGAATGGCAGGCTTTAGAAGTCAGCAACTCATCGGCTTCAAACAAGCGACTTGAATTTTATGTTTACTGAGTCTCTATTAGTAGCTGTCTTAGGTGGGGATTGTTCGAAGTAAAGTAATTGCAAGAATTTCATTCAGAATGGACAATTGTAGATTCACATCCACTTCAACATTCCCTTATAAGTGGAAGACGCAATGACCTCTGAATCTTGGCGCCGTCGTGGTGGCCCCGGTGTTTGACAGGTCTGTCATTGCAAACACCTACAGAGAGGCGGACCAAGTGAGGAGCGAGGCGGGCAACCGCTATTCGCTATGTTGACCCAGTCCTTCATTGCACACCGCATTTTTGTTGATTGTTGTTGCTTGTTTTTGACACAGACACAGCCAGCAGTTCCAAGACAGAAAATGCCAGCTGGTTCCTCACCAGAGACTGGGTGGTCACACAAATCCCCGATACTTTTGCCAGATGGCAGTGGTTTCCCTTGTTGTAGTGGTGCCCCAAGCTGAACTGAATATCCCAAAAGGTCAAGCCGTGGAAATCCAAACTGCTTACAGGGCGGGGGTGGGGGCGGGGTCCCAAAACCCAATACCCCTAAGAACGCGGTTGCAAACGTAGACCCCAAGTGCCCCCAAGTGCCCAGCTAGGGAAGAACGGTTTCCTGGTGATTTCTTTCGAGAAGGATACCCTGAAGAGAATACACGCCCAAATCGAGACGGGCGCCTGCCCGTTTCGATGGTGTGCCTTCTTAACAGGATCAGGCGAAACTTTGCGACCCCCGAAAGGGTGATGGTGACAAATGAGTAGACGGCGCAGGTGGCTTGAAGTTTGTGCAACGCCCCTCCACCACGCACAGGAAAGGGAGCTCACAACTGATTTGGGTTCCTTTGGACATCCACTTAAGCACAAATCAAGAGGGGGTTCCCAATGGTCAGAATGATTAAATAGTTTCCCATCGGACCTCGGCATGGCGACTCTGCATGAGAAAGCTATGCAGGCATATTTTGCTAAAACAAATGACGGGTTTTAACATATTTTACCATGCTTCAGCGAATCGCATTGTGCGAGCCTCATTGGTGAAATGCAGGAAAGACGAGTCCCAATTCAGCAGGATTCCTTGACCTCGCGCTGCCATCAGTCAGTGATGGGGCCTTCTTGAAATAAGTTATCATCTGCCAACGGTCTGCCAGCTGCGTCATGTGCGGCAAGGCCCCTGCACAGAAATTCGTCCGAAAGGTGAGCTTCCGGAGCACGGCCAGCGCCAAAAACGCCCAGTGCATCCTGGTGGGTTAATCCCATGGCTATACTGTATATTCACAGAACAAGCACACGTGTTGGGCTCGATTTGATATTCCATGTTCTTTCCTTTCGATTCTGCGGCCTCGGGTAGCGGATGCTGTGCTCAATACAGTAGTTGCCCTATTACAACCTGAGCAGAGACACACACACACACACACTCTTTTGAAGGAACATCGAATCATTTGAAGGACTCTGTTTTTCCAGAGCTTGTGCATGTGCTGATATCCCAAAATTGGGGAACGCTTTTTTGGATGGTTTATTGAAAGGAAAATGGGCAGCACACTCACCAGTTCTACGGGCCAATGTGCCCATGATGTTTTATTGAGAGGGGGAGAAGGAACGCGTTTTTTGTATCGGGGATGGGAGGGGGGGTGTAAATCTTCAGTTGTCCAATTCGAACTGTTGACCTTCCTTGGGAGTCTCTTGTTGGTCCAGTTTGGTCTTTACACTACATGACCAGCCACATAACAACCCACAGAACCAACCACATACCCAACCACATATCCAGCCACATAACCAACAACATAATCAGGAGCATATCGAGCCACGTTGCCAACCACAAAACTAGCGACATAAACAACCACATATCCAACCGCGTAACCAAGCAACCAACCAGCCACACAACAAGCTACACAACCAACCACGCAACTAAGCAAACAACCAACCACATAACCAACCACACAACCAACCGCATAAGCCACCACCACATAACCAACAGCATATCCATCCGCACAACCAGCCCACATAACCAACCACATAAGCAACCACACAACCAGCCACAGAACCAGCCAGGTTACCAACCGAAGAACTAACTATACAACCAACCACACAACCAACCGCGTATCCAGCCACACAACTAACCAACATTGACAAAACCAGCCACATAACCAGCCACGTTACCAACCAACCGCATAACCATCCACATAACCAACGGCATAATCAGCCACCTAACCAGCTATATAGCCAACTACACCACCAACATCATAACCAACCACATAACCAACCACACAACCAACCACATAACTAACCAGCCACATAACCAACCGCAGAACCGACCACATAGCCAATGTCATAACCAGCCACATACCCGACCACCTAACCAACTACATATCCAACCACATAACCAACTACATAACCATCAAAAACAGACCAGCCGCATAACCAACCGCATAACCAACCACACAACCAGGTACACAACCAACCACGTTTCCATTGGCATAACCAGCCACAGAACTGACCACAGAACCAGCCACATAACCAGCCACGTTACCAACCGCAAGCCAACTACATAACCAGCCACACAACCAACCACATAGCCGACCACATAAACAGCCACGTAACCAGCCACATAAACGCGCACATGTGCAGCCACAGAGCCAACCACATAGCCAACTGACCGACCGACCAACCAACCCCACAGCCACAGCCACATTCTGGTGATTTCGGCCGTTGTACCCGGATCCAGCTGTTCAGGTGGCCGCCGCCGTGTCCGAACGGATCCAGGCGTTGCAGGCGGAAGTGAGTGAGGGCCGTCAGGAGGGGTGAATGCTGGTTGCTTGGTTGGCTGGCTGGTTGGTTGGCTGGTTGGTTGGCTGGTTGGTTGGCTGGTTGGTTGGTGTTATGAATGAAAATGTTGGTGAATAGTTGGTACTGTATGTGTTTGTCATTTGTATATATGGTGTTGCTTGAATTGCTGGTGGGCTTGCTGAACATTGGTGGGCTGTGTTGGAACCTTGATTTTCTGCTCCAGCTTTCCACGGGCCGCAGCCAGCAACAAGATGGGAAGCAGCCAGACAAAAAGGCGAAGCATGCGACCGCAGTTTACCATAACGGGGGAATCCTCGAAAGTGGTTCCGTGACGTAAAAGTGTCCCGCTTGCCTGTTGAATCAGCACAGTTTGAACCATGTTTGGTTGGCAGGTTTCTTCATCACTGTGGTCAGAAGTCAAGGACCATAAAGTTGTATCTCTTCTTTTGGCCTGTTGTGTTAGCAGGTCGGTTAAAAAACCAGAAGTGCATCCTCAGGCTGAAAGCACCATGCACTCCAGCGGCATCATGCAATCAAACTCTGGTTTGAATGCTGCACAAGGGAGTCTTGCATCTGAACTTTACTTTCACATTTTCCTGGAATCCTCCAATACCTTTGCGCATATCCCAGCCTTCCACGAGGAGGATTTCATTCATAGAGGTTGCAAAGTGTATGTGAGAGGGAGCGGGGCACATGAGAGCAGGTGGGTTGCCTGTGTGTGGTTGCGTCCAGAAACTTGGTGATGTCCCGCTGGTAGTTTGGTTGGGTCAAGCTTGACAATTTGGTGGTGTCCTTTTTTTGGTTGTCCCGGCAGTGTTTTGAAATGGCAATGGTTTTGTGGTGTTCCGGTCCCGCTAGTCTAGTGTTTTGGAGGTAGTTGGGTGGTGTCCCGCTGACACCCTGTGACGAGCTGGCGGGAGCTAAGAGGCAGACCAGATTGTGTGAATTGCATTGCAGTTCCCAGATACGCGGGTCTGTTGCTGGCATTTGATTGCTTGCTTGTTCCTGTTGCTTTGTGTTGCTTTGTTTTCTTTAGTTTGTGTCGTGAGTGGTGCTCGAGTCGACCTAGCCCGCAGTCCGGAGGCGCGTCAGCAGCAGCTCCTCGATGAGATCGACGTGCTGGTGCAGAGCAAGGTTCAGGCGGGCGGGCAATTTTGTGTGCGTGGCTTTGGTGTGGGTTACCATTCTATTGAGATACATATATTTGTAGAAGTACTTAGGATATGTTTGGGCCATATCAGGGGCTAGACAATTGCTAATGGCTCCGCCTACACTGATGACGTTTTCAGGTACACCACTTAGCTAACTTCCAGTCCATCTAAGTAAGATTGATTGAGCTGTTGTGAAAAGGGAATTGCACAAACGATGATCCCGTACTCGATCCCGAAAAAATCAAGATGGTAAACTGTAGTTTGTGCCAAGGTCACGGGAAGCAGGGTTGGTTCCCACTTTTGTAATTCCGAGGGCCTCATCTTGAAAAAGGGAATAAGTCATTGGAAAGCTCAACAATCGCGCCGCAGAAGTGGGCAACTCCGCCCAAAACTGATTTGAGTTTGCAATCAAAGACTTTGGTCCCGTTTGTCAAAGGCATGTGGTTTGAACAATCGTGGTTTAAACAACTAAGTCTGTTGTATCAAAAGGTGCAAATATTGTGGCGCGAATGCGTGGAGCAAGGCGTCCCTTTGAACCTGTACGAAGCAGAGCCGTCGGGAACAAACTCTCAGGCCAGTGGGCTGTGAATTCACAGGTGAGGCTAGGCATTTGGAGTGTCCTGAAACGGGAGCCTTTCTGGGGCCTTGGTGTCATGCGCCGCGTTGGGGGATCCACCGTTGTCAGCTTTTCATGTGGCCAATTTTGGATTGGTGCGCTGAGGTGCAAGTGTCCAAGGCCAGTTCAAAACAATGCCGACTTAGCACCACTAAGGCCCGTGAGCTGGTTCTCCAAGAGACCTCGCAGACGGATCGGTTGATTGTTTCAAGCCCCTTGCCCGATTTGAGCCATAATAAAACCCGGCAGTGACGATCAGCAAGGGACAGTTCTCAGCCACGAAACAAATAGGTGCGGCTGCCCATTTGATTCATGGTTTTGGGTAGATCTCTTTAGTGGTAGGTTTTGATTGTGGCTCATTAGACCACCCTTTACCCGTTTAGAGCCCCCAAGCTGTTGGGGGTCAACAGAAACAGCGTCCCCGTCCTGACACTGAGGAACGGCCAAGCATGGCGGCTCTCTTTTGTTTGCGCTTGGGAGACCAGGCTTGGAAAGTGCGCATGCTGTTGTTGGGCGCGGCCTTCTCCAAATGACTCTTGTTTGCAGAACCTGGTGGATGTTCTTTTCGCCGTTTCAAGGGTCGCTTTTGCGGGGGTTCATTGTAGAAGCTGGAGAGTGAGGCTACGCAGTATATATTATGTTGCATGTAGGTGGTTGAAATTGTAGTGAGCAGCATTTCATGCACATATATATATATATATACAGGAACATACGTAGAAGCGTGTACATACTGTATAGTATGAACGCCTATGGCCGCACTCGTAAAGAGGATTGACGGGGCAGGGACCCAGGGATCATGGGGTTTGCAGAGTTGCGGCTTTCAGACGCTGGAGACGCAGCTGCAGCAGATCCAAAGCCCGGGACCCGTCTGCCGAGAATGCGGAGGGAAGGGTACCTTTTTGAGGCGACTTGCCCCCCTTTTGCCGGTTTGGACCGCTGTTTTTCTGTGCGTGCCCTTTTGAAGGCCTTCAAAAACGGAAACTTTAGGCGTGTTTGGTTGAACATAGATGAATTTGAGTTTGGTTCGCCTAGGTGACGCAAATCAGCTTCTCAACTCAAGGTTGGAATGCTAAAAGGCAACCGCAACTTGCACTTCCCATGTTGGGGGTGGCCCAGTGCGGACGCTCCGTTGCAACTCACTTCGGCAACGCCATGCAGTCCGAGTGCCTGATTCAAAGCCTCACCTTTCCCGTCGGTGGCTTGATTTGATTTGGGCAGCTCGAAAGTTCCTAATTCACCAAACCGCCAGGTTGGGCTCAACCGCGGGTTTGAGCATGTTCAACAACTATTCCTCAAGCCTCCTCACGTTGAGTTCCTTTCTAAGGTGTAAAGGGGACCTGGGCCTTCGGTTGAAACACGTTGTTGCCAACCCTGCCGGGCGTTTGAGGTGGCAGCTGTCCCTTTGCGCACGCGGAGGCGGGAGACAGAAGAAGCCACTGGTTCTGGGTCCAGAAAAGGGCTGTTTTTGTTTAGGCCTTGTTGATAGGCCTCCACGCTCGTCTTGACATCCAAACTTGCCCGAGCACCCTCTCTCCCATGCCATGGAATGCAACAGTGACCTGGCCTGCATGTTACTTTAAACAGCCCAGATTTCAGGGAAGCTGGTGGCTATCCAAACGGGAGTCCTGAATTTAGGGGCATGCCCGCCTACTTGGTCCACTCATTTCGACCAGCCACAAGATCCTTCTCTTGGCTTGGCTTGGCTTGTGACATGCTTTTGTAGTGCGTTGTCCAAAAACAAGGCAAAATGGATTGGCCAACCCTCCATTTTGCCTCCATCCGGAGCCATGTTGACAGTCAGGAAGATTTCATTTTCATTAGCTGGTGATTCTTGGAGGTTCCTTCACATAGGTAGATTTGCTATTTTGGTTGCATTTGCCTGATTGCCAAGGCCATCTCCTGGTAAACAAGTCACGGATCAAGTTTCAGATCAAAGACTCCTGTCAGAACAGGTTTGTCTGAGCCGACTTTTGCCTTGCTTGCTTGTCGGTGCATTAAGCATGAAGTTGGCAGCACATTTTTATTTTTTTTAACACCACGTCTTGAACAGCTGAAGATCACGTTGTTTCTCCAGTGCTCATCTTGAAGCAACCGTGACCTGCAGGATTTGCCAGCAAGCGATGCAGCGCCCAGTTTGGTCTGGCAACACAATGCAACACAATGCACCCGTGGCCAGCTCTCAAAGAAGGTCTCGCATGTTTAGGTGATACTTACGCAATTCCTTCTGTCGGCTCTATGGCCAATTCTAAAGCAAGGCCTTTGATTCTCTGGTTGGTGATTGACGGGCTTCCGTTGTTGGTCCCTGTCCAACCTGCGGGGTAGATGGTGTAGGCGTTCCGCGTATGCCAACAGCATCCTGCGGCAGGTTCTCGTAGGCGTGTTGTGCTACAATCCAAAGAGTAGCTCGCCAACAGCGGCGCGTAGGCGCCTGCATAGGTGCATTTTGACGAAATAGGCCTGCTTTGGCATGCTTCCAGCGTATGGTTTTAAAGCCCTGTCCAACTGCTGGTTGCCAACTCCTCTGCGCGCTCATGGTTCCGGCAGGATCCCGATGCCGCTCCTGACAATCGCTTCCTCCTAGAGGCAGACAGCGTGATCAGCTTCAGGCGGGCGACGCGGGCGAGCAGACGAAAGCCTAAAGACTTAGCTGAGGTTTTTGTTGTGCCCCTTTTTCATGTCTCATGCAAAGAATGTCCTTGGGAAGACATTGTTGTTGACATCTGCTGTCTGAAGCCAGAAACAAGCCGTGGGGATGGGAGTTGGAATCCCACAATGGCATCACATAAGTTGTTATGTTCCACAACTGCGCATGCGGGACATCCAGTTCAGGTGGCATTGGTGCCGTGTCTAAGCACGAATACCGTCTCTACTGGGGGGGCTTGAAGCCAGTCCTTGTAATTGTTGCGGTACGTATGATTTTATTTCCCATAGTTGTTGCTTTTCAAGCCAATAAGACTTAACTTCATAGGTCAGCAAGGCAGAATAGCTATATATCCTGCACGGGTGCTGCAGGAAACACCGAGTTTTGGCCCTAAGCCAAGAATATCTCAGGTTTGACGCCAACACCCCGGGCTTGTTTTGCAGAACCCGTGCCAAACCCATATTTAGGGTTTGCTAAAAAGAACTCGTTTTCTTTTCTACTGACTTGTTATTCTTTAAGAGTTTAGGTAGACAATGGCTCCTTTTATTTCCCTTTTGGGGGCAGGATTCCCTTGAAGGATCGATGAACCTAAATGAGTTCCTTTGCCCCCCAATAGCCACTGACGGCAAACATGTGTTTCGAATTGATTTTTGTTCATCGCTCTCTTCCAGGGTGTGTGTCAGGTCTCTACTGTTGATTGGGCCAAAACAATCTACCAATCTGGGGTCGGCTGACATTTGACCGCGCACTCAAGGCGGCCAACGGCCAAGTCCATGCTCAAATCACGCCCCAAGGTCTTCTTGCTAGCGGGCCCTTGCACAGAGGCTTCTTCCACGTGAATGTCCGACCACAGTGCAGCCCACAGTACTTTTCGAAGCACGAGCGGCCGCTGTCCACAATGCTAGTTTTTCAAAAGAGGCCTTCACAGTTCTAGGGGTATTCTTTGGCAAGAAGGTGTGTGGACCAGTCCGCTTCTTGTCCTGTCCAGCTCCGATGTCACCTTGTGACGCAGCATTTGGGCTTGACAAAGCGTTGACAATCTTTCGCTCTCTCCCTCGCCATGTGGCGCATCCTGCTTCCTGCCGGGACCTGAGTTCAGACTTCATGCTCCCAGCGTGAAGCGACACCTCCGCCAATCCAACCTTGCTTATCCGGTTTAGATGTTTGCATTGTTGTACACAGCACGTGTAGATGTATGGTTGTGTACATGCACCCGTGTATTTAGTTGTTGTCGAATGTTACAATGCTTCTGCATATTCCGTGCGTTACATGGTGCCACAGCATCGGTCCATTAGCTCGAGGCATGTGATACATGGGGCAGGACAAGCATTCGCGATACGTTGGGCGGTCAAACATGGCGCCTAAGCCGCTGGCTTTGTCAAGGGGAATGCAAAAGTCCATACTTTGACGACATTTGACGACCACCCACTATAGTTGTCGTGGTCTCATTCATCCTGTACCAGTGGCACACTGCACGTAATCGATAGCTCATTCTTTTTAGGGATCCTTCTTTCCAGAACACAAAACAGAAGAAGGATGGTTGAGAAGAATGGGCAGTTAACCCTTAAGAAACGCGTGAATTCGACCATCATCAAGCATGTTACCTAAAGCCAGCGGCGATAAGCAAAAACCACAACTTGGTGTTTGTTATGGCCAAGTTCCTGCAGAGCGGATGTTTCCCCGATGTTTAGTTTTGGACATGCGGCCTCAGGTCGAGCTGTGTTGAGCAGAAATGCCTTCTAAAGTGTTGGGCGTGCATGTGGACAAACGATGTGTGATATGAGCTTCAGAGATTTTGCTGAAACCGTTCTGGGCAAGCTTGCATTCACATGACCGCCCCGGCCTCACCTGTCAAGGGGGCCGCGGAATTTGTCATGGAATCCGACAAGTGTTGCGCATGGGGTCGGCGCATTTGTGTGGTCACGTGGTACAAGCATGCCGCGGGTTTTCCGCATATTTTTTGATCGGTGGCTATTCTTCTGTACATGAAAATCCCCGTACAATCTCAATAAAATCCTCAGTGTGCCCGGACTACTTGGTGTTCCAGCGAGCTATACCAGAAACCCCGCGTCCGTCCCAACACAAATCCCCTGTTTTATTCTGAAAAAAACACGTCCCACAGAAAACCCCGCTCTTAGCATACGCACTAGAATGCTTCAGTGTGTGGCGGCCACTTTGCTTGACGCGTTCCTTTCTGTGAGGCATACTTGGCTACAACCTGGTTATCCTTCCCACTTAAAACCAAAAAGCAAAATAGACCAGGGTCCCCTTCGTTTTTGGCTGCTATCTCGACATGCTACTGCCTTTCAAAGCCACCAGACCCCCGCCCCATTTTTTGTGCACAGAACAAATCCACTCGTGCAGAAGCGTTAGAGCCAATGTTTTGCTAGACTTTTGGTTCCTGCCCTGGATGGTTTTGAAAGGGAAACCGGAGGAAAGCCTACCAGTGGCAATGCAACATCGAAAACTGACATCTGAGTGTGAGGTGAAATCGAGACTGCTTCAAATAGTGTGGTGGCCAATCCATTTTCAACAGCCTGCATGGGCAACCACCGTGACCAAATCCTTTCATAATCCTCTAGGTCAAACTTCCACGCCAGACACGACCATTGCCTCAGAACCATGAATTGTGCGAGAGCGCAAGGAGTAGCCAGGGTGAAGGTGTTGTCCAAGCCAACAGCGAAAGCATGTTTGTGGGCGGAAGATTTTGTTTGGCTAGTTTGTCAAGGGATCAAACGCCTTTGGCTTTGATAAGATTCCGGAAGAAGACATGCGTCTAGTGTCGACCCGGATTAATCAACCTAGCAGGTGTCTTGGGGTGTTTTCTCAGAAGTGATCCAGACTTCCCCTTCTGCAAATGGGACGCCTTTTCCATGAACCAGGGGTTATCAATGCGAGTCAAGCTTCCGTGGGCAAATCTGCAGGCTCTGCTTGCGGCAGCCTATGCCTCGCCAGAGGTGGGGGCCGGAGGAAAGGCCCCCATGGAAACAGAGACTCAAAGAAGGTGCCCTTCAAAGGAATATCAGGGTTTAGCAATAACGGTTAGTTGCTATGTGGATGAGCCGTTTTGAAAGCGAAACCAATGGAAAAAAGTAATTGTGTTTTGGAGTTCATTCGTTGTGGGCAAGTGAAATCGCAATCACAAACAGATGCTTGCGGTGTGCAATCACTTTATTTGGGATGATACATCTTTTAGTTGGGCCACCCACTTGGATATGTGTCAAAGTTAGTGGGAGCCCCACCAACTGACCAACCATCCATTTGGAGACACAGTTATTTTTCATGCTCAATCATTAAACCCCTTCAAAATAAGGCCCAACGGCCCTGCCGTCACGTTTCAACAGCAGCGTTTGGTCGCCATGTAGATGTGTATTGTGAGCGCACCCCCTTTGTTTTGTTTTTTTCAAGTGAGACGAGAAACCAAAGGGAGGCCCACGGAAACCAAAGCTCATTTTGGACAATCCATATCCTGTTTGGATACAAAGCGAGGGCTTTGGTTTGCACAGAACGTCGAACCGTGCATTGGCAGTCCAACGGCCCTGGTTTTTTCAAACATGGGGCGCATCTCCAGCGGCAGCCGTCAGTTATGGACAATTGGTTTGGGGTTCCCACTTTCCATACCAAGGGAATCCCCTAAGTATCAAAACAGATGGGCAACAGCAAATTACAAACTTGGGGGAACCCGAAGTGATCTGGTCATGAAAGAAGCCAACACTAAACAATATTGCAGGAAACAAATGAATGCTTTCCCACAACCATTGTTTCTAGATGGCTTTCCTTTCGATTTTTTAAACCACCGCTTTTGGGGTTGCCCTATGTTGACACAGTCCTCGGCTTTTCTTTTCGTTTCGGAGGCTTTGGTGGCGGACGACGAAGCGAATGCATTGGGCCTCTTGCAGCACAAGGGCGAGAAGACGGCCACGGAGGCGTGAATCGGTGGCACAGGATGGGGATGGGAAGGGGTCTCCAGCGGTACCGTCTACCTTTCCAACAATCATGGAAGTGGACAGTGGACTAAGATGGTCATCTTCCAAGACTCGTTTGTGCACTTCCATGATTGTTGGAAGAATGGTATGATTTTGGGGTGGACGAAAAATGAAAGAGAACGGGAAGATTTGGCTGGCATATCCTGGGGTTGGGCCAAGGATGGGGGTGGTCCTTTGAGCGCTTGAAGATGGATGGGGAATCACCATCCACTACCCCCGCAGACATGGGGGGTAGAGTAGAATGGCTGTGTGTCCAGCAAGCGGCGATGGTGGTAGGGCATCGCCTAAATTCTACAGAATATGTTTTGTTTAATACTGCAGTGCTTACATTGTGACATTCCACTACCATTCATTTGTTTTCAAGAAGGTAGGGAAGGGGCCCAAGGAAACCAGGGATTTTTGGGGATTCCCTCAGAACCAACTTGAGCTTCCAAGGCCAGTGCGTCCCGAGTGGCCAAGAATCCGAGCGGGGGGCATAGATATTTCCAATAATGTAGTGTTAAAGGGTATTCCTGGGCAGACGGAGGGTGGACCATGTTGATCCGAGCAATCCCTGTGCGAAAGAACTCAAGGTTTCGAAAGGCATTCTCAAAGAAAATACACAAAGGTGCATTGTTTCTTTTTGTTTGTCTTTAATAGGCTCCTTACACGCCCAACTGATTTCAGATTTGCACTTAGCTCATTTATATGTGTACATAGTGTATATTTGTATACATGTTCCTCCTTAGGGCTTAGAGGACGAACGCGTGAGTGTATGGATATGTGTTCTTTTCAAGCATGCCAAACCTGTACTTACCATCCATTCAAAGATGCAAGAATCCAAGAAGGGCTGGGATAACCACATTGCAAGTAGGGAACAGTGACGGCTCAGGGGATTGTGCCATTGCAGGTTAATGCCCCAAACGATACCTTGAAACTACGTGTCAAGCCTTGTTTTGGCATTTTGACACGGAAGTAATCTAGGTTGAATTGTGCATGGCCCACCCTATCGCCACGCGGATCCTTTGTCTCATAATTTGTTGGTTGGCTTCCAAATGTTTCGGGAATCCGCTGCAATGGGACATGTCTCAGACCTGGAAACCCTTTGGTAGATGGGTAACTGCGGCCAACAAAACAGGATTCCAGACATGTGTCCAAAACAGTCGATAAAAGGGTTGTGGGAATTGCCCACGTCTCCTCCAGTACCTAGAACGTTACTAGAAGGGAGGGTTTCCTTGATGTCGCAAAAGTGGGAACCATCGTCTCAAGGGCAGCGCTTGCATCCATTGCATTTGTTTCTTTCTACCTTCTGCTGAAGCCCAATGCTTAGCATGTGGCTCTTCAAATTACCGTTCCTGAACAGACAGGAACCGCGTGAATTATTATTGTAATCTGCCAAGATGTGTTGGAGTCTCCCGGAGAGAGCCCACCTTGTTGGATGGTAGAAGGGGTGAAAACTGCATGTGCCATAACTCCTCCTATCGCTCGGTACACAATTCTCAAGAGAGGTTCACCGATTTCGGACGCCAGCTTGAAAGCACACTGGGACCAAAGTTCCCTACATAAATCTGTCCCCGTCTGGTGGTTCTGCTCATTACGACCCTACTGCCGATCTGGACTAAGTCCTTTTGCTGCGGTGATGTTTACAGAGGGAAATATCGAACTATAGGGTTCTGTTTGTTGATTACTCTAAGTCAGAAGTCTGCGTGGGGTTGATCAAGCATGAGCCCTGGTTCCCTATGTCTTCCAGTCTAAACATCATTGCACCAAAACAACAACTCAAGTTGAATTAGCAACCAAATGGGGATGTTGAGCACCCACAGAGGAAAAATAGGGATCCCTTCGGATGCTGGGAAACTTCCACAAAAGCGTGGGCCGGGGCCCGAGCGCCTTTGCAGATGATGAGTGCGGAGCTGGCCGTGAACATGTCCCAGCCAGGCCCGCAATTCAGCGGGCAATTTGGGCCTGGCACAAAGTGCCTGACCGCCGGGATTTGAAAGGAAACCCAAGTGGTGGGTGAACCCAGACCCCGCTTGTTTGGTGCTTGCTTCGCCAAAAAGAGGTTTTTTGAAGAATTTGGCTCGGTTTGATGGCTCCAACTAGAGAACATCGGATGAACCCGTCATGTTGAACAGTCAAGACTTAGGAAACTGGAGTCCGGAATTTCGGACACAGCCGTTCAAAGACCAGCCTTCTTTTGCGTTTGTGGGGAGCAATGCCCTCGTCCCTTACTCGGCCACCCCGCTCAAATCACAATTTATACAACAAACCCTCCTCGGCCATGACTCAGTGGCTCCATCTTTTGGCGAGATTCCTTTGTTCCAGGCACCACCGTGATGACTACTTGGCGCGGTTTGTAAACTGAGGTCAACATTGCACCTACACACCCATTTGGGGAGTTAGTTGCATTAATTTGTTTCCCTTTCAAATGCCCTTCTTCCTTTTCTTTGGCGGGGCTTCCCTTTGTATAAAATCAGCAACCAAGAAAAGGTTCCTTCTTTCCCACAGAAATCTACTGGAGGTCTGGGTATCTAGGGAGTCAACTGCTTGGAGCCTTAACTCCTTGCTGCCTTGAAGGACTCGCTTTTCTGGAGGACGGCGAGGCTCGCTTCAGGCGCGGGAAAGGAACTTGTGGGGGGCAGGCTCTAGGGGTGTGTGCATTTCAGACGTGCACATGGCAGTGGAGGTCCGCGGACTTACTCCTGGGAAACACGTTCCACTCAACTTCCGCTTGCTTGTTTGGACATGGAATCTCAGTATACATCAGTCTTTTTGGTTTGGGACAATAAAGAGGGAGGAGAGCCCTCTTGTCAATCAGGGTTGGGCATGGTTTGTCACAAATCAAGTTGGGGAAGTTTGTCGCAGCATTGTTCAACCTATTGGAGGGACATGGTCAACACCAGGCGTACACAGCACATCTGTTTTTGAATTCACCCCCCCACCCCCGCTGCATTCATCCGCTCCGTTCCATCTCCAGCTTATCTCCGAGCTCTAGAATTTTACAATTAGCTGCCAATGAAGGATCCGGGGAAGAGGCGAGGAGATGGAATGAAGAAGTGGGTCAGGATAATGGTCATCATGTCCCTTTCCTTTCACCTGGCTCCATTCAACCGCCAGTCAAGGAAGGTCCAACATTCCCATTTCCTTCTTTCCTGCTCTTGGGATTACACCACCAATCGAAGCTACCAAGGAAGGGAAAGAAAGGGAATAAAAAGCCGCATCCAAAAGGCACCAAAAGGTAAGTTCGCGACCTTCTCCTGGCGAAAGCAGGAGTAAACGATGAGATGAGGGAGAGAAACTTTAATAAAACCCACTTCTTATTTTTCTCCCTCCCATTCATTTGTTTCTATTGTTGGCGCAGCAGAAGCTTGAAGGATGAAGACAAACTTATAATATAATTTTCCCAGACCCACCCCTCCCCCAAGAAAATCAAGCAAGGGTGTCTTTGAGGGCTTCTTTCGTCTCACCGATGTGGGCAAGCTCCGCTCTCCTCTAAGGTCCCATACCTGGCGCTCCCGTGTTGGTTGGCGAGGTCGAGCAGCTATTTCGGAAGTGCAGTTCCCCTTTATATAGGTGTCCCACTCTTTTTCTCCCAGCCTTTAGGCCATCCCACAACAAACCATCCCCAGCAATAGAAACGAACAAGTGGCTTGTCGCAAGTCGCATGGTTTACCCGGAGGCGTTCAGAGACGCATCTTCATGAATCAAACGCCGAGTCAAAACTAAGGACCCTTTGTGTTTCTATTAGAAGCAAGGAATCCAACCCATTTGGAAGAAGGGAAGATTCAAATTCGTTTTGACACGTCTTCCCTTGCAGCATGCACTTATATCTTCGCTGCAAATGGCGGAGTTGATAGCCCCGAGTTCCCTGCAGGGTAGGGGCCAGAACATGCCCCTTGGTCAAACACGTTCAGGGCACTATTTGAGCAACCTGCTTTGGAGCTTGCTTTCAAGGAGGGTCTGCGGGTTGAAACCAATGTGCACCTCACCCTGAGTTCGGACTCCCTTTTGCTTGCACCTCTGACGCCTTCTTGTTTGAGGTAATTGAGACAGTGTTGTATGGGTGAGCTAATGATTGAAAGGGACGCACAGGGTACCATGAATTTGCTTCGGGTGATGCTTGATGCTTGATGTGTTCCTGTTGGCTCTAAATTTCGAGCGTCACCTTAGGCACACAAAAGACACTGAGTCAGGGCTTCCTACATTCTCTTATTCTGCCTTTTGCTTGCGGGGTGGTTTCAAGGGAGTCACCTTAGAAGGGTCATGTTTAAAGAGGAAGTACGGGTGAATGTGACTGAAGACGGGACTTACGTGCTGCCACGCTCCTACGCCCTTCGCGACCCTTCCTTGGGAGAGCAACCCTTCCTTGGGGGAGGATGGAGCCATGTGAGGTGCGGCGTCATCTACTGCGCGGACGCTCACGGGAACTTCTGCTGCCGCCAGAGCCTGGGTGCTGTGTGCTGCGGACCAGGAGCGGAGCTCCGAGACGCGACCGAGACGTTCCTTCGGCAAGGACCATGTTCCCAACCAAGATGTCTCCTATTCGCCTATCCGCTTTCCCTTTGGAATAACTTGCTTGTTCTTAGAGAATATGGGAATGAACTCCTTCCAGCTTCATGCCTGTTTAAAGAATTTGGGATGACGGCTAGGGATGTCGACCCTGTTCCCTACTCTGCGGTGGAGTGAGTTGATACACGTTCCATTTTTTCCGTTTTGTGACGTAGGTGGCAAGCAATCAATCAACACCTGGATTAGAGGGTATATATGTTGTATGCATGGTTTTGGAAACTTCTTTAACACCATGCAGGGTTCTCACTATTCGTTTGGGGTCGTTCCGTTTCGCGCGCACGTCCGTTTCGGTGTGTTCGATTCGATAGCCCTGAATCGCCGTACGATTCGGGCGTTTCGTTTCGCAGCCGGTTCCTTGCCAAGGCCCGGTTCGTTTCAATTCGTTTCGATGGGGCTTTGGGGGCCGCTGGTCGCCTCCTCCAATCTTTGGGTGCCGCCCTCTCCGCCGCCTCTACCAACCGGCCTTTCAAGCGTCCACCTCTCTACGGGTTAAACCAGGCAAATATTTACATATATACAAATATATATATATATATAATTTGGGTCCTAGTTGCAGCCAGGGAGCTCATTTTGCAGCCATCCCTCTTCTTAGATGTTTTTAGCTTTTTAGATTCGGCCATTTACCCCAACTAAAAGGTTCGTCACTTCTTCGCGGATCTGAAAACGGGCAGCCCGAAGGCTTTGCCATGGCCGTGGGTCGAAAAATAGGCTAACCCCAACATGGCTTGCATGGACGAAAACCAGCAGTCCAGATCCTGGTGGTTTTATTTTGACCCATACCCCCATGAAGATGCTTCTGCATGGCTCGGAGAAAAGTGAGGCTTCAGAAAGCCAAGCACGAACCAACCGACCCCAACCCCCCGGGGAAACAAGAAAAACACAAAACAAACACATGAGACCTGATGCCGACTTGGGGGGGGGGTCTGCATCTTGTTGATGTCTGGTGATTGTTTTTGCTGACAACTCGCTTTTTTGTTTTGTTTTGAAAGGTGCGCAAAAATCGGGAGTGCTCCCCCCAAAAAAAAACAGAAATCCAGACCCCATGCCCCAGACTCTTAGGTTCCCCCAAAAGAGATTTATCCAAAAGGATCGTGATGTGGATTCCATGTCCATCCACTGGAGTACGTGTTCGTCATATTTTGATCATTGGCTTCTTCGTTATTTCAGTGGAGCCAACAGCGCACCGGAACAAAAAGACAAGCAGCGGGCGCCCAGAAAAACCTTCCTGCGCCATGAAGGTGGATGTTTACTTGCCCAGTGGAGATGGTGTTTCTTTAGAAGTCTCGCCGGCTACACTCATCAGCGAGCTGAAGGCTGCAGCGCAGCGGCATTTTCAACGCTGCTTGAAGCTCACTGCGAAAGGCCGGCAGCTTGAATTGATGGCCACGCTGGGGGCGGATTGCAGGACGGGGATGCGGTGGCTGCCGTGGTGCAGTTTAGCAAACTTGCAGCAACTTATAAGGCACTTGCCTTGCATGGCCACGGGGAAGCGGTTGTGACCTGGGGCCATCCAGAATACGGCGGAGACAGCAGCCAGGTGCTAGAGCAGCCGAGAGATGCTCAGCACATTCAAGCAACTAGAAGTTGTTTTGGAGGCGCTTGTATTGCTTTGGGAGGCGCTTTTGCTGGCATTCTTGAATCTGGGGCTGTTCTGACCTGGAGTCATCCAGAATACGGCGCAGACATCAGCCGGGTGCAGGAGCAGCTGAGGAACGTCCAGCACATCCAGGCAACTGCCGGCGCTTTTGCTGCCCTTCTCGAATCTGGGGCTGTTGTCACTTGGGGTCATCCGCAACTTGGCGGAGACAGCAGCCAGGTGCAGGAGCAACTGAGGAACGTCCAGCACATCCAGGCAACTGCCTTTGCTTTTGCTGCCATTCTTGCATGTGGGGCTGTTGTGACCTGGGGTCATCCACAACTTGGTGGAGACAGTAGCCAGGTGCAAGAGCAGCTGAGGAACGTTCAGCACATCCAAGCAACTAGCGGCGTTTTTGCTGCCATTCTTCAATCTGGGGCTGTCGTGACCTGGGGTGGTCCAGAACACGGCGGAGACAGCATGCAGGTGAAGGAGCAACTTAAGAACGTCCAGCACATCCAAGCAACTGACGGCGCTTTTGCTGCCATTTTCCAATCTGGGGCTGTTCTGACCTGGGGTCATGCAGAATACGGCGGAGACAGCAGCCAGGTGCAAGAGCAGCTGAAAAACGTCCAGCATATTCAAGCCAATGCCTTTGCTTTTGCTGCCATTCTCGAATGTGGGGCTGTCGTGACCTGGGGTAATCCAAGAGCTGGCGGAGACAGCAGCCAGGTGCAACAGCAGCTGAGGAACATCCAGCGCATCCAAGCCAATGCGGCTGCCTTAGCTGGCATTCTTGCGTCTGGAGCTGTTGTGACCTGGGGTGATCAACAACGTGGCGGAGACAGCAGCCAGGTGCAAGAGCAGCTGAGAAGCGTCCAGCACATCCAAGCAACTGCCAGCGCTTTTGCTGCCATTCTTGAGTCTGGGGCTGTTGTGACCTGGGGTCGTCCGCAACGTGGCAGAGACAGCAGTCAGGTGCAAGAGCAGCTGAGGAACGTCCAGCACATCCAAGCAGCTTTCCATGGTGCCTTTGCTGCCATTCTTGAATCTGGGGCTGTTGTCACTTGGGGTCATCCGCAACTTGGCGGAGACAGCAGCCAGGTGTGGGAGCAACTGAAAAACGTCCAGCACATCCAAGCCAATGCCTTTTCTTTTGCCGCCAGTTTTGAATCTGGGACTGTCGTGACCTGGGGTTATCCAAGAGCTGGCAGAGACAGCAGCCAGGTGCAAGAGCAGCTGAGCCTTCATGTTGAGCTGTCGTCCAGCGCATCAGGGGCGCTAAGAGCTTGCTGAAAGAAGGGAACGACAGATGAACCTTGCGGTTGGATTCGGCATTCAAAGTGGTGCTTAGAGTCAGACTTTGGGTTCGGGTTGACTCAGCTGCGATGCAACGATGCTCATCCCCATTGAAAAAAATACTAAGGGTGCTCGATCAAGGTTCAGTTCTAAGCTGTGTGTTTTGTTCGCTGGTTCGGTCAGCATGGCCTCTACAATCCGAAGAGCCTCCCGAACATCGCCCGTTGGCTCTCTGGCTCTCCCAGGGTGGCAGGCGCAGGACGTACACCTGCACGAGTCTTTTTTTTTCTGGATTCACGTACCCTTCCTCCAACTAATGTTGACCCCGGATGAAAACCCCTGTTTGTTCAGGTTTTTTTTCTTCTGCAAAAGTAATATTCCACTCGACAGCATGATGAATCAAGTCCCCGAATTTGGGGGATCATGGCTATCAAGACTTGGTGGCGAGCCCAGCCATCCGGTTCCTTACCCAGGGAGTCCAAAGGCCTGAGTTACGGAGGCCGTTTAAACAGGAAGGATTTTTACGGCCTTTTTACGGGGTGTTTGCGTCCTTCTTACGGGCTTTTTTACGGCCTTTTTACGGGGTGTTTACGGTTTACGGTCGTTGACAAAAGGCCTGAGTTACTCAGGCCGAGGAAGCTCTGGGTTAGTTGTTTAGATCCTTTTAGTGTTTAGATTCGGTCATTTCCCTATTTCACCCACTAAAAATTAGTCACTTTTAGCGGGGGATCAGAAAACGGGCAGCCCAGTAACATGGCAGCTCATTTCCTTTTGAAGGGAGCCCCTGTCAGTTGCCATGTTAGTTGGAGGGAGGGTAACCCATTTGAATACTGGGCAAACCGCGTGTTGCGGATTTGTTTCACTCTCACCGTATTTGAATAATGGTTGAACGACACCCTTTGAATAATATCGTTCTTGGATCTCCAACGGGCGCAACAGGCGCACACCAGTCATCTGAGTACTGGTGAAAGCAATCCCAAGTGGTGTAAAAAAAGGAAAAACAAATCTAAAAAAACTCACGGTGTGAAGACCAGGTGCTGCGAATTGGAACCATGGTTTTTCAGCCATTGACATGAATCTCCGGCTTCAGCTGAAACGTGAGGGATCTTTTCTAGCATCCTGAAAAAAGAAACTCTTGCAAATGAATAGAACGTTCCTACGGCTATCCAAAAGGGCACATTGTGTTACGTCTTCTATTCTCGTGTTTGGCACCTCTCACACACCCAGAAAAAAACACCTTCCTGCGCCATGAAGGTGGATGTTTACTTGCCCAGTGGAGATGGTGTTTCTTTAGAAGTCTCGCCGGCTACACCCATCAGCGAGCTGAAGGCTGCAGCGCAGCGGCATTTTCGACGCCGCTTGAAGCTCACTGCGAAAGGCCGGCAGCTTGAATTGACGGCCACGCTGGGAGAGGCCGGATTGCAAGACGGGGATGCGGTGGCTGCCGTGGTGCAGTTTAGCAAACTTGCAGCAACATACAAGGCATTTGCCTTGCATGGCCACGAGGACGAGGTTGTGACCTGGGGCGATCCAGAACTTGGCGGAGACAGCAGCCAGGTGCGAGAGCAGCTGGGGAATGTCAAGCACATCCAAGCAACTAGAAGTGCTTTTGCCGGAATTCTTGAATCTGGGGCAGTGGTGTGCTGGGGTCATCCACAACGTGGCGGAGACAGCAGCCAGGTGCAAGAGCAACTGAGCAACGTCCAGCACATCCAAGCAGCTGCCAGTGCTTTTGCTGCCATTCTTGAATCGGGGGCCGTTGTCACCTGGGGCGCTGCAGGATATGGTGCAGACAGCCGCCAGGTGCAAGAGCAGCTGAGGAACGTTCAACACATCCAAGCAACTGACAGTGCGTTTGCTGCCATTCTTGAATCTGGGGCTGTTGTGACCTGGGGTAGTCCACATCGTGGTGGAGACAGCAGCCAGGTGCAAGAGCAGCTGAGAAACGTCCAGTACATCCAAGCAACTGCCGGCGCATTTGCTGCCATTCTTGAATCTGGAGCTGTCGTCACTTGGGGTTATGCAGCCGGTGGCGGAGACAGCAGCCAGGTGCAAGAGCAGTTGAGAAACGTCCAGTACATCCAAGCAACCGCCGACGCATTTGCTGCCATTCTCGAATCCGGGGCTGTTGTGACCTGGGGTGATGCCCACCATCGCATGTACAGCAGCCAGGAGACTGAGCAGCTGAGGAACGTCAAGCACATCCAAGCAGCTGCCGGTGGTGCCTTTGCTGCCATTCTCGAATCTGGGGCTCTTGTGACCTGGGGTCGGCCTGAATACTGTGCACACAACCGCCATGCGCAACTGCACCTGAGGAATGCCCAGCAAATCCAAGCGACTCACGCTGCTTTTGCTGCCATTCTTGCATCTGGGGCTGTTGTGACCTGGGGTGATCAGAAACGTGGCGGAGACAGCAGCCAGGTGCAAGAGCAGCTGAAAAACGTCCAGTGCATCCAAGCAACTGCCGGCGCTTTTGCTGCCCTTCTCGAATCTGGGGCTGTTGTCACTTGGGGTCATCCGCAACTTGGCGGAGACAGCAGCCAGGTGCAGGAGCAACTGAGGAACGTCCAGCACATCCAGGCAACTGACGGTGCTTTTGCTGCCCTTCTCGAATCTGGGGCTGTTTTGACCTGGGGTTGTGCAAGCTGGGGCGGAGACAGCAGAGCCAGGTGAGGTCATGCAGAGCCTTCATTTCGAGCTGTCGTACACATGCCGCGCTGTTGAAAGAAGTGTCGCCCAAGAGAACTTGTTCTTACCCCCTACTTCAAATACCCACGTTGTTTCTATGCTTTTTTTTTGGAAAACCTGGGTTTCCATGGTAAATACCTCCTCTTTCAGTAGAAGGTTGACATCATACCCTAAAAAATGGGTATTGGGTGCAAGGGTAGAGTCCGACTTTGGGTTCGGGGTGAATCAGCTGCGATGTATCGATGCACACTAGTGATAGAGGTGAGCGACAAAATGAGCAACAGTCAACTTTCACCATCAGCTACAGCCGATAATCGTCAACATGGTATGCTAGCCTGGCATGTTGAGAGGTTGCTTGAAAAAGGTGCTATGAGTCTAAAAAAAGGGAACACACTCAAGAATGGTAGCGATTCTCCCACGTGTAAACGATGTCCCAAGCATCCCCGATCAAAGTTCATACAGAAGCTGCGGCTTAAAGTTGCCCCGGTCAGTATCGCCACTCTACCGAACAGCAAGTGATGCCCTTTGCTTGCATCCATTTCCTTAAGAACATGCTTTGTATTTTCCCTTGCTGGTTTTAAAGGGAATCTATCACTACTGGAAATATTTGGTATTTTGTTCCAGGGGGCTTATGCAAATGGAAGTTTGGGAACATAGTTCTTGGATCTCCAAGGGTCGCACGAGGCACACATGCACCAGCCCCATTTGACTTTTTCCGATGAACCAATCCCAAGTGTCAGCTTACCGCCTACTCCAAGTACCCACTTTCTTTTAAGGTATGATGTCGACCCTCTACTAAAAAATGTATTTACCTGAAAAAACAGGTTTGCCAAGAAATACCCTAGGAAAAAGTGGATACTTGGAGTAGGGGGTGTTACTACTAGTTGGTGGTTTGGATTGATGGTTTGGGAATTTGGACCATTTCCTGCTTCCAGTGGAGGGTACCCTTCAGAAAACCAGCAAGCCACCGATTCGGCTCCAAACCACCAGTTAGAGGGAAGCTGAAAGTGTGTTTTCCATTGGTGTCCAAATAAAGGCCTTTGGTTTGCCTGGACCCCCAAAAGACCCCTTTGATCTGGCTTTGTACCGCATTTGTCTGGGTCAAAGGCAAACAAAAAGGTCTTTTGGGGGTCCAGGTGGATCTTGCAAGGGCGTTGACCTCAAATTGGTGTGTTTTTGCTCTTTGCTAAAGGAAAGCCCGAATTAATTATTTGTAGCTGTTGTTGCCATGTGAATAGTTTGTGTTTCGTTGTGTTGCTTTTGATCATGTGTAGCGGGGGGCTGCAAACCAAACAATTATTTTTGCTACCATACCCTTCCCCAGAATTAGCTCCCCCCTTTTTTCTTCGCTTTTTTGGGGTCCCCATTGTTTTCCACTAACCAGACAGAATATGTGTATTTGTTGCTGGGGTCCTCTTCTTCCAGCCTGGAAAGCAGACACACCGAAATGGCCCTTTTTTGACGTCCCGAGACCTGGACGTCGCCAAGGGGCGTTGGTTTTTGTTTCCGAAAAAGGCGGATGTTTCTGGGTGAATTGTAACGACCTCACCCGACCTCACCCCAAATGGTGGTCTATGTGGGGAATAGCCCCCCAACCACCCTATTTCAGGTTGGTGAACTATTATATTGCACTCAGATGTTTACATGGTTGTTGTTTCGAAACATGTGTTGACGTGACTCAGTTGGTGCGACTCAGTTGGTGCCTGAACGTGTGCGAATGCCCCTGTACAGGGGGCTTCTGCACACTTTGGGGCGGAGTCGGAGCCCGTCAATTCTTCAACATTTTTTTTCTTGGGGGACCCCACATGAACCATGAATTTATTCCCAGAAAAATGTGGAAACAACCACAACTTGTGTGGATGGGTAACTCCGACACCAGTTGGCAAGTGATCCATCCCAACTGATACGAGGTGGGTTTGTCCAATCCACGCTTTGAAATGTCCGTCGACCTGACAGGCGCCCGCTGCAAGAGCGGCGGCGGCCTGGCCATGTGCGTGTGAGGGGACGTCACGGACCGCGAGAGCAACGGCGACGTAGAATTATTGTCGGAGGGAATGGCAGGGAATGACCAAAGGTCCAGTTCGCAAGCAGTCTACTCACTAAGTTCCCATGGGGACGCAATTCGGACCCGGAATCCTCCCCTCCTCTCCTCTCTTCTCTCGCAATGCATCAACCTTGCAGACTGTCTTTGGGGGTGTTGCCCAAAAAGTGAAGGATTCTCTATAAATATTGACCCCCATTGATCATCCAGGGGTTTGTAGCCCTGAATTCCCATTATCGGTTGCTTCACATGTGGCAGATGTATGACCGAGTGTGAGTCAATGTATGACCCTCTTGCGCCGAAGTCGGGTTTTGTTTACTTAACCCTCCTTCAACTCGGAGCTCAGTTGCTCTTGACCCTTCAACTTGCAAAAGGAGTGTGTTACGCCCGCTTCGTCGCCGGTTTCTGGCTACCAATGCCGGAGACGAACGCTCCAAACCGCAGATCCTCCAGACATTTCAATGTGCGCGGGCTGCAAACTGGCCGTGCAAGTCAAATTAGTGTTTGTGCAAGCAAAGGCTAATGATGTTTTGCCAGAATTGGAGCTGTGTCTATTACATGTTTGCGCGGCCAGTGCCGACTTTGAAGGCACTTCGCAGCAGTTCTCGCCGGGCCAAAAAGAAGCACGCTGGAACGAGGCCATGAATTAAAAACTGAGGCTCGGAAACAAGGCGTGCGATGGTTTTTGCGTGCTGCAACGCATTATTTGATTGTTCACGTCACTGAGAAACCCACCTCGCCACATTTGGAACTTCAAGGCTGCTCCGAGCCTCTGAAAATCCACTGCCACAGCTTTGGCAAATTGGTTTTGAACTCGCCCAGGGTTGATTGGTTTCTACCCGCAGCTGCGTAGATGGCCTTCCTTTGAGTTTTGCCGGTATCTTCCACGGCCCGGGACTTCAAAGGCAATCCTGAATGCTTCCCTTGCCTTACGAAACAATTCAGTCGCCTTTTTCTGGATTGTGTTTTGGGGAACTCAATGCCATGAACTTGAAATGAGGAATGCTCTTCAAACTGTTTGGTGAGCTCCCCTGCGTAAAGTAATGTCCCGGTTCTCAGCTCAAATTCATACTAAGGTGAGATTCGGCTTACCAAACAGCAGTCTACGGTGCATGATAGACGGGGCGACTCAGTAGATGTAAGGAAATACAGGCGAAGTCCTTTGGGGTTCTCAAGATTGGGGCAGATTGGGGCCGCCCACAAATGGGTTCTTTGCTTCGGTTCCACCCGAAAGAGCTACTGTGCCAACTCCGAGCAGAGACACCCATAAGGTTTTTCGAGAAGGGAAGAATGCTGTTTGTTACACTTTGCAAGGGTACATCGACAGCTGCTTGACCTCCAGCTTAATATCGATACAAGGGGCAGGGCGTCAAAAGCCGAAAGGCCTCTCTATTTTGTTTAAACAAAACAAGGTCCAGGTGTTTCGGGCCGGAGGCTGAACAACTCCGACTTTGCCGAGAAGATTGTGGAGTGGGGACAGGTGGGCGAGAGCCCGGAGCCAAGCGAGGCGATCGACCCCTCCAGCTTGTTGAAAAAGGGCTCAAAGTTACTCCACAAAAAATACAGCTTTGACTCCCCTCGAAATGTTCACTTTAATGGACCAGCCGAAGAGGGGAAGTAGTAGGCTGAAAAAAGCACTCATCCCAGGTCCAAAAGGTGTCTATTCTCCGAGATACAGCTGCCATGTAGAACGCAGCACATTCTACTTAGGTTTGCTGGGAGCATGCTAAGTGGTTGGCAACCATGGCTACCAGATCGCAAGAGGCTCATCGGATCGCTCTTTTAAAAATCCACAGATTGAGTCTTTGGGTCTTTGACAGGGGCAAGATCGCACGCTACCAGGAGACGCCCCTTATCAAAATCAGCCAGAATGCTTTGAATGAGGTTGTCCAATAAAGTAACAAGTAGTCTTGATGGATTGCATGTCCCACTCAACACAAGGCGGATTCTTCTGGTACTCATGGATACTTCTGCAGTAGCCTTTGTTAGGAGCTATTCACAAACTGGGCACCCATACTCAATACATTGCTGAGAGGGTCGTTTGGTCAAGGGACTAACATGTTAGAGCGACGTGAGTCAGAACCTCAATTGAAGGTTGCTAACGGAACCCGGATGATCTCGGGATTGGTTTATCAATCGGGGGCCCCAGTTAAGAGAGGAAACCCTTTGTTTGGAAAGGGAGGAAACACACCCATTTTGCTGAGGCTGTGCCTGCACACCGGCGATTCTGCAAAGTAAGAGGTTGGAGTTAGAGGTTAGGGGGACTTGCGTGTTGAGTGGGACCCGAGAAGCTTGAGACTGGAGTTAGAGGTCAGAGGATTCAGAGGTTAGAGGAGTTAGAGGTTAGTGGGCCAATTTATTGTAGAACAGTGTCCCACCTTTACGTTTAGTCAACGGAAGAATTTGTTCTGGAGTGAAGCACTAGGGATTCTGGGGGCATTGACCAATTTAGTCTACGAAGTGGAGGAGTACCAATTTAGTCTACGAAGTGGAGGAGTTGGAGAGTAGAGAAGTTAAAGGTTAGAGATTAGAGGTTAGAGCGAGAGAGATTGGAGGGTAGAGTTGGAGATTAGAGGATTGAGTTGAAGGCTGAGGTTGGAGTTAGAGGCTGGAGAAGTTCGAGGCTGGATAATTTGGAGGTTAGAGAAGCTAGAGGTAGAGGTTAGTCGTGTCAAGAATCTGACCTCCCCCTTCCACTAAGAACACGCCTCGCCTCCTAGCCAGAGGATGGCATGGCTTGGCAAAGAGGTCTGCGAGGTTTGTGCAACCTCGCCTCGAACGCATGCCTAGAAGCACAATAGTGCGCGCAGAAGGTTTGTGGTTTGCACATCCTCGCTGTGCATGTGCCATGAAAATCGCGGCTGCTTAGTGCCGAGTGCGGAGTGGTACCAGGGTTCCTGTGGGTTTTTTGATGGGATTGCGGGTTGTTGTCGGGGTTTCTGATTCTGCTGATTCAGTCAGTCGCCCCGCGACCGAGAATCGACCTACGCCTCTCTGAGCTTTGCAAAGGCAGGGGCTTCGAGGTGCGTTTGGAAAGTGTATACCTGAAGGATTTGCGAAACCGTTGGTTTCTTCCAATTTCGGGCCAGTCAGAAGTACAAAAGGCCAACCTTTACCTTTCTGGCCTGTTGAGCAAGTGAAACATCAGCTTGATTGCGAACTATCCATATTGTTGAGACCATTGAGCAACAGATGGTACTTATTTCTTGTTCGTGATCAGCTTCGGAAAGATAAAGGACATGCGGTGTCTGCCCGCATCGGCCATTTTTGATGGGAACCGAGAATTGAAATCCTTGCAGCAAAGAAAAGCCCATCCTCGATGGCAGCTTATGAAATGACACTATTGAATTGCAGCAGAGTGTTCTTAAAAGCGATTGGGTTCCTCTAGATTGATGCCCCCTTTAAAAGCCTCAGCCAAAACGTTGCCCTCCAACCTTAGGATTTCCCCTGACGCTGACCGCTGGGCAACCAGCCCATAAGGCCGTCTCTGCTGTTGTCGGCAACATGTTTTTTTAAACCAACTTGGGCGTGTCAAAATAAAGGAACCGCAAAACATGGCGAAAACAACACCCCTCCACATGTTTGCTTCTCTGGCAAAGCTAAGTACTGTAGCCGGGCTTGCTTCTCGAATCCTGGCCTTGGGGTGGACTTGGCGGATGCAGAACCGATCCATCGCAATTGCTCCTCCAAAGGAGTGCGAACTTGTTCTGTTTGTTTTGGGCACTTGAAGAGGAACCCATTCGCGCTAAAGGGGTCGTTTGGAAATGGCCTCATTTGAGGGACCCCTGACGGAATGTGCCTACGGGGATGCTGGATTACCCGACATGCGGGGTCTGTGGGCTGCTTTGGGCTACCCTTCACAGCCCTACAATGGGTACCAAATGACGCACCCCTGTAGCCTGACGTGACCTTGCCACAGCCGTCGCAGTTTGGGGATCCACAGGCTGCTACCCTGGAGTGTCAAACCAAAATGGGTGTGCGTGCCATGTCCTAGTTTGGCTGGGTGTGGGCGAGCAAATGCACGTTTGATGGCCATTCAAAGAATGTCCACGGGCACACGAGCAAATGGTTGAGATTTCCATACGAGGACCCGTACAAGCATTGCCGTTTGGCCATTTGCAGGGTATTTCCGACTTGAGCTGTGCCAGCCTTTTGTCATTGACAGACAATAGAATGGCTTAGCTTGCTGCTTGAAGTGTTGTCCTTCTTGTTGTTGCTTTATGTTCGTTTTCAACCAGAAGCACGTTCACTTCGGGGAAGGGTCGCAACCTGGCTCTGTGGACCAATTTCGATGGTGTTGGTGCGTTTCGTTGCCCACATTTCCAGCATCACCGTCAACATGGAACTGGAGGTAACTTGGAACCAAACTGCACCTGCACAAGGGCATGGGTGAGTTTGGGGTTCCATGACCATCTAGAAGTGGTTTAGAATATTACAATAATCCTTTGGCCCATGTGTAAAAGGTCATAGAGAAAGCATTGCCCGAAACTCATGGCACATTCCATTGCAGCCAAGCGTGTCCGCCAGGGCCCGGGCTTGGGAGTGCTCAAGGCTCGAGAGGGTTCCGGCTGTCTGCTTCTTGAATACCCCACTCCAAATTCGTCCTTTAGGGAAATGAGATGTTCTTGACCACTGATTGTGAAATCATCCGGTTTGGTTCCCGCTGGTTTTTCTTCCAGCAGAACACTCTGGTTAACAATCGGGAGGCTTCATCGCGGGTCATAATTTTAAGGTCTGTCTCGAAATGGGGCTGGCTGCTCCCTTTGGTCACAACCCGAGCCCACCCCCTTTCAAGGGACCCACTGCTCAATGCCTATTGTAATGCCAGAGGGGTTTACACAAACCTCACTTGGGTCTCAGGCCTGAAGGCTCACAGCCAAGATTGAATCTGGCAGGTCACACGCCTCAGAGGAGAGACTCTGGTGCTTCACCAACTCGCGTTGGCCATAAAGTTTCTCCCTTACACGGAGCAAGCTTCGCACTTGGGATGTACGAGAGTTTCCACTGCCCCAAACCGCTGCCTTTAGGGGAAAGTGGGGTACATGTACACTTTGTTCTGTGTTTAAATTACGTGGTGCGTATGCGCCCACATTTTCCTGAGGGATTGGTCGTGGGGGTCTTTTGGAGGATGATCAGTCCTCGTTTTCGGGAAGCCATTGGAGGAATCAGACCATCCCTCCTGTCTGGAGACAGCTTTGCAGTCCGCAACTTGGCTTTGTTTGTTTCTTATCATCACTTGGAACACAAAACCTGAGGTAGAGTTTGGGATAATTACATTTGAACAGTGACCAAAAGTGAAGCAAGTCGTAAAATATCAAGTTGTACTCTACACCATGTAACTTTGAGAATGGATCCAACGTGTTGCACTCGGATCGAGCAGCCTGTTGACAAGGAAACTCTTGGGCGCAGTTCTCACCCACTTGCAATCATTGGAGCACAATGCAAGCAGACATCGCAGGGGGTGAAAGTAGATGGCACAATTCCGGCAATTCCTCTTCAATGTGGGTTGCACATTCCCCTTTACCAGCAAATTGTGCCGTATGTTCTTTGTCCTTGTAACCTCCAACTCCGTCAGCCGCATTCGTTCAACGACGGGCTATCGACCTCGTGGGTCCGGCAGGTCAACAACAAATCCTTCCTGTGGGTGTTTGCGCAGGGCTCCCAGGTGTAGGGACTCTTGACACCGGACGCCCAACAACTTCACCCATCAGGCTTTGCTTGACCAGATTTGACCTTATGTTTGATCTGAGTTCTGTCCACCTGGTTGGTTGGTTGGTTGGCTGGCTGATTGGTTGGTTGGCTGGTTGCTCGCATCCCCCAGCAAGGGCTGCAGATCAGATGTGGTTGCTGTTTGGAGTTGCCCAGGTTGGTGCAGGGCGAGTTGAGGGCAGACCTTAGGTTGGATCCGGTTTCCACTTTTTGGGCATGTGTAAGGCCTCGCAAGCCCGAAACTGTTGTGGGAGTTTGGTGGGGAGTTTCCAGGGCCAATGTTGTCGCAACCTGCGCAACCTGCGCAGCCCCAACATGATTTTGAATCTCCTTGTCCTTTCGTCACTTCTCCGTCTTTGCTTTTGGGCTTCAAACGTTGAAGCCCCACATGCTTCCTACCCAATCCAACCGTCCCCAATCCACCCCCCAACCCACTGATTCAACGTTTAGCTAAAGTCGTTCTCCTCCAGTGTTTGGCGGCTGGCGGGTTTCCTTTGTCGCTCAACATATCCAACTAACCAAAAAAGGGTGTCCTTTTTTCCTCAGACCCTTGAAGGTCTGGGATGTTCTTTTTAGGGGGGGCAGGGCGGGGTTCTTTTGCTCGAATTGAATGATGACCGGTTCTGGGCTTGTTTTGCATCCCGAAGGCGGTCACACGGTACGTTGTGTTTCAGAGTCACTCTTGAGCCCTTTGAAAGGACATCCGAAACCTGACCCTGTGACTTTCTTGATGAATTATGCTTAGCGTTACTAGAATTGCTTCATTTTGCTTTGACTTTGAAACTGCTTTTGGTGAAGGGAAACAAGTTGATGCGGTCCCTGTGGAGAACTGGGCGGCGCCCGCCTGGGGTGCCTCAGCTACCTGCTCTCTGAGGTGTGACCGGGAGGGCCAGCGCCGCACGGAAGGAGGCAGGCAACCAGAGACGGGAAGTGCACGAGGTATTCGATCACCTTCCTTCTATTGAAACTCCAAATCCAAATTTGGAAACTCAGGGAGTCCTGGGAAGGCTATCGTACTTGAGGGATATAAATTAATTGAACATGTTTCTCCAAGATATGGGGACTGGGGTATACCTTAGACATCGAAGACAACTTTTATGTTGACAATAAATCGAACCTTTTCAACATGTATAGACCCTTTCTC